TCCCCACCCCCCAGAAGCCACTCTTGAGTTAGGAAGGGGAGCTACAGGCTGGAGGCATCAGCACTGAGCCAGGGCAGGTGGGGGCTGTGGAGCCAGGGTGACCCTGCTGCTTAATATCTCTCCCTTCAAATCCGTTCCCACGGCAGGTGGAAATGAGCTGGAAAAGCTTCAACCAGGGGGATGTGTTCCTGCTGGACCTGGGGCAGCTCATCATCCAGTGGAACGGTCCTGAGAGCAACCGGAACGAGCGGCTGAAGGTTCGGACGGGGGTCCCAGGGCTCCTCCCCAGAGCACGGAGGAGGAAGCCACCCCCCTCCCCAATCCGGGCTGACACTTCCTCCCCTGGGAGCAGGCGATGACCCTGGCCAAGGACATCCGTGACCGGGAGCGTGGAGGCCGTGCCAAGGTGGGAATAGTGGATGGGGAAGACGAGGCCGCCTCACCGGGGCTCATGCAGGTGCTCACGCATGTGCTGGGTGAGAAGAGGGACATCAAGGCGGCCATCCCTGATGACAAAGTGGACCAGAAGCTCAAGTCCTCCCTCAAGCTCTACCAGTGAGTTGCTGGGTGTTAGTCACCCATGGGGGCATCTCGCAGGGTGCCAGAGGGACCCAGCACCCATCTCTGCTGTGTCACACAACTCCTGTGCCCATGAACACACAGCAAGAGGGGTCAAGGCCAGTGACAGGGGTGGGTACAGATCCTTTGGATGCTGTTGGAGCAAGGGGAACCCCTGGTACCAACAGGGATGGTATCTGACTGGGAGATGCTCGTGCATGTGTGACCTTTGGATGCAATGGCAACGTCCCTGGATGGCCCCATCACATCTGACACCCCCTTTGTCCCTCCTCATGGCAATAGGCAGGGCAAGATGCAAGCCAGGTTGCCACCATGGCAGGGCAAGAAGGAGGGGATGGGAACACTGCCACCATCAGGTGGGGATGGGGAGGGGGTTTTCCAGCCCTCTTTCTAACCCCTCCCCCTCTCTTTTTCCCCTGCCAGTGTCTCCAATGCCAGCGGGAATCTGGTGATACAGGAGGTGGCGGTTCGACCCCTGACTCAAGACATGCTGCTGCATGAGGTGTGTCACCAGTTCCATGCTTGGGGGTGCCCAATTTCCTTGACAGCTTCAACCCTTCAAAAGCCAGTTTGGTGGGATTTGCCCCAAAACTCTGAATTTCTGCTGTTGTGTCCCCTCCAAGGACTGCTACATCCTTGATCAAGGAGGTCTCAAGATCTTTGTGTGGAAGGGCAAGAACGCCAACAAGGAGGAGAAGCAGCAGGCAATGAGCAGGGCACTGGTGGGTGCTGTGCCTGGGACTGGTGGTGGAATAGCCTGGGTGCTCCCCAGGGTGCTGGGCACCTCATGCTCACACTCAGGGTCTGAATCTCCCCAGGGCTTCATCAAAGCCAAGAACTACCCGGCCAGCACCAGTGTGGAGACGGAAAATGATGGATCTGAGTCAGCCATCTTCAGGCAGCTCTTCCAGAAGTGGACCGTCCCCAACCAGACTAGTGGGTTGGGGAAGACTCACACTGCAGGCAAAGTGGGTGAGTGTCCCCTTTTGAAGCTGTAAGACTCCGTGGATTGGGATGGGCTGGGGGCTATGGGGACCCCGTGACTGGTGGGGTATGGCTCATCCCTCTCACCTTCCTCACAGCCAAAGTGGAGCAGGTGAAGTTCGATGCTACCACGCTGCACGCCAAGCCCCAGATGGCTGCCCAGCAGAAGATGGTGGATGATGGAACTGGGGAGGTGGAGGTAGGGTGGCCAGGGCAGGATGTGGGATCCTCTCAGGGCACTCCCTGGGCTGCACTGGGGGATGTTGTGGGGCCCAGAGGCTGCAGGGCAGGGGGATACACCAGCCCTGGTAGCAGCACATCCCTGTCCCTTTCCCACCAGGTCTGGCGTGTGGAGAACCAGGAGCTGGTGCCTGTGGACAAGAGGTGGCTGGGCCATTTCTATGGTGGGGACTGCTACCTGATTCTTTACACTTATTTCGTGGGGCCCAAGGTGAACCGCATCATCTACATCTGGCAGGTGAGACCTGCATGTCACTGACCCATGGTGAGGGACGGGGGCACCTCCCTGGACTGGGGATGCTCTGCCCTACACATGGTTCCATGGGATTGGCGCAAGGGTTCCCTATTCCCAAGAGGGAAAAGGGGGCTGCGGGGGGCACTGAGCCCTGCTCTGCCCTGCCCAGGGCCGCCACGCCAGCACAGACGAGCTGGCCGCCTCTGCCTACCAAGCCGTCATCCTGGACCAGAAGTACAACAACGAGCCCGTGCAGGTCCGTGTCACCATGGGCAAGGAGCCAACCCACCTGATGGCCATCTTCAAGGGCAAGATGGTGGTGTACGCGGTGAGCAGGGGTGCCGGGGCGGGGAGCGGGGAGCCGCTGGTGCCGGTGGTGACCTCCCCTTCCTGCCCTGTCCCTCCAGGGTGGCACCTCGCGGTCAGGCAGCACGGAGCCCACACCCTCCACCCGCCTCTTCCACGTGCACGGCACCAATGAGTTCAACACCAAGGCCTTTGAGGTGCCCGTCCGCGCCTCCTCCCTCAACTCCAATGATGTCTTTGTGCTCAAGACCTCCGGCTGCTGCTACCTCTGGTATGGGAAGGTGGGTACAGCTGGGCACTGCGGGGGTGCTGACACCCCCATAGAACATGTCTCTACCTCTTCTCCCTGCGCTGGGGCTGGTGACGGAGCGCCTGTGCTTGCTTGGCAGGGATGCAGCGGGGACGAGCGCGAGATGGGCAAGACAGTGGCTGACATCATCTCCAAGACAGAGAAGCTGGTGACTGCAGAGGGACAGGAGCCACCCGAGTTCTGGCTGGCCCTGGGGGGCAAGTCCCAGTATGCCAACAGCAAGAGGTACAGGCAGTACCTACACACCCTTGGGGATGAGATGGTCTACCGGTTCCCAAGTGGGGTGAGCCCCTTTCCTACCACCACTACCACAATGCCCCCCACCAGGCTGCAGGAAGAGAACCCCTCCGTGCCCCCCCGCCTCTTTGAGTGCTCCAACAAGACAGGCACCTTCTTGGCCACGGAGATTGTAGACTTCACCCAGGATGACCTGGAGGAGAATGATGTTTATGTGCTGGACACCTGGGATCAGGTTAGCTTAGGGGTATGGGGTGGGGGACACCTTTGATCCCAATGTCCCCAGGGTGGCTGTAGGACCTGCAGCAGCTGGAGATGGCCGGATGGGAGTCTGGAACCCACCATGTCCCTGGCCAGCCTTTGCTTGGTAAAGGAAATTGCTTTCCATCCCCTCACTCCAGGGTTATATGAGATAGACTCCCGGTGCGCTTCCCTGGGGACAGATCCCATGTACCCCCAGCCATGGGTTGGTCATGGCCCCAGAGGGCCCGGTCTCACCCCAGTGGCAGACATGATGTCCTCATTCCAGGTTTTCTTCTGGATTGGAAAAGGTGCCAGTGAGTCAGAGAAGGAGTCGGCGGCGATGATGGTGCAGGAGTACCTGCGCAGCCACCCCAGTGGGCGCGACCTCGACACCCCCATCATTGTGGTGAAGCAGGGCTATGAGCCCCCCACCTTCACTGGCTGGTTCCTGGCCTGGGACCCTCTCAACTGGGCTGTGAGTCATGGAGGGGGGCTGGAAAGACCAGGTGGGCCTTTGCAGATGTGCCCAGGTGTGGATCTGGCTGCAGCTGGCACTGGCAGGGTGCACGCAGCAGCTTGCCTGGTCCTTGCGCAGGGACTGAGCACTTTTGTCACCTTCCAGGATAAGAAATCCTACGAGGAGCTGAAAGCCGAGCTGGGGGACGAGAGCAGCCTCGGGCAGCTCACCTCAGTAAGTGGCACAGGGAGAAGGGTGGGAAGGGGTGCAGAATGTTCCTCCGTCCCCTTGCCAGGTGACACAGAGCTGCAAGGACATGTTATCCAAGGACATGTCCTTGCAGCTGGTGCCTCTGTCCTGGGGCCGCCCTGATGCGTCCCTTTCCCCCCGACCCAGGCGCTCACATCCAGGCAAGAGGTCTTCACCGCCACCACCCCCCTGCTCCCCGAAAAGCTGGAGGTCTTCCCCCTGGATGTGCTGGTGAGCACCGCGGCTGAGGACCTGCCACGGGGTGTGGATCCCAGCAGGAAGGAGGTGAGAGGAGGCTGGGGCTGCTAGGGGAGAGGTGAATGGGGGGAGCCCCCCAGCCTCAGCTCAGCCTCCTCTCTCCTCCCCCAGTGCCACCTCTCTGACCAGGACTTCCAGGCTGTTTTCGGCATGAGCCGCTCTGCCTTCGGCAGCCTGCCCTTGTGGAAGCAACAGACGCTCAAGAAGGACAAAGGACTCTTCTAGGGCAGAGCCTAGGCACAGGGATAACCCCGGCTTGTTGTCTGTATTAAATAAAATGGATTTGGCAAGCAGGGCTGTGTGTACCCCTGGGCTCAGCCCAGAGGCAGGGCTTACTGGGCAAAGCGGTGGCACTTGTCGGCACACAGGTCTTGACCAGGCACCGAGGCAGCACAGGGACTCCTGTGCCCTGGGTCCTTCCTTTGCCCCCCTGCTCTTTGATGAGACCCACAAGCTGCCCACAACCCAGGTCCCCATCATGGGAGTCAGGGCCGCCCCATGCAGCCCCAGTGGCACCTCGGGGCTAAAGGTCTGGTACAGAGCTGGAGCTCCTCCCTGTGCTGTCACGTGAACCTCAGTAAATAAGTGCTGGACCAAAGGTAAGAGCAACAAGCAACAGGCTGATGGGATGGAGTGTGTGGGGGACAGACACCAGGGAGCACCTGTGTGTCCTTGCCCTGGGAGAGGAGAGCATCTCCCTCCTTCTTAGGCTCCACAGGAAGCCATAGAGGAACTGGTGGGTCTCACCCCAGGGACACATCTCTGGTGTATGGGAAGGTGCTGAACACACACATGATGTTCTGGGACACGTGAGCAAAGGCCCAGTGCCAAACAGGGAGCAGAGGTGCCCATTGTCTGTGGTATCCAAGAGGCAGAATGGAAAAAAGATCTCAAACCAAGAGAGGGTTAATAAAGATGTGTTTATTTCACAAAAATCTATCTACACATCATTTAAAAAGGGGGGGGGGAGGGGACCCAAGAGCAAAAACTGTAAAGAATAGAGAGGAACAGGTCTGCTAAAACACAGAGAAAAGTGCTGCTCCACATCAACAGTGTAAAGAACCAGAAAGTTGGGATGCAGGCAGGAACCAGCAGCAGCCACCTCAGGGCAGGCAAGGCTGGAGTCAGCTGCCAGGGGTCCTGCACCCCATTTTTCTCTCTTTGGCAGGTGCTTACAGGGATAATAGCTCCATTAAAAAGAAAACAAAGCAGATGAGTTATGCCCAGCCCTGCCCACCCTCCCTGGGGCACAGTGATCCCCACATGTGGAGTGACTGCAGCAGAAACCGCTGGGCTGGCTCAGCCCTTCCTTGGGATGCAGGACAGGAAGGAAGATGCACAGGTGATGGTTATCTGTGCTGCAGCGAGAAGGAGGCAATGCTATGGCCCCAGCATTGGAGAGGCCCGCTCCTCCTCCTGGCTCCTTGCATTGGTGTCAGGCTGCTGCCCCGGCTGGGAAGCCAGTCCTTGCTTTGCAAAGGCTCTTTGTGCAGCCCTGCTGGCCAGGGCTCTGCTGGGATCCCCCGCCATGAGCTCCAGTTCATTGACAAGAATGGAGTAGGGGAGTAAATCAAGAACAAATTACCAGAGGCAAACAACGAAGGGGCAAGAAAAATGGCGAGACGGGAGTTCCTTGCATTCATATGCTGAATCACACTTGGACTGAACTAGGCTGATTCAGGAGCGGGTAAATGTTTAACCACAACCCTGTACATGTGGGGAAGAGCCTACAAGTGTTAACAGACTGCAACTGAACTTCTCCACCTACCTAAACCCCAGGATGGGCATCCCACATAGGAGCGATGATGATCTTATTGAACCTGCTGCTGGAACAGCACGAGGGGTGGGAACATCTCAGCTGTTGGGCAGCGCATCCCTTGAGGATCACACACCTGCCTGCCTCCCCACTGCTCTTGGACACGGAGAAAGCTGGCTTCTGCAAGGGAGGGGGCTCCATGGACCCTCCTGCCAGGGTGAAGGTGCAACTGAGCTGCTGCATGCCAAATGAAAAAGCTTAAATTAAGTTACTAGGTGCCTGCAAATTCTTAATAGCTAGAATAATAAGCAAGAACTTTTCACAAAACAAGGAACACAGGTTTCAAGCATCAGCTTTCGCACTCTGACCCAACCAAAACCTGGTTTTAAACAAAAATTACTGCACTGAAAAGTCAGGCAACGTTTGCTTTTATTATAAATTAACGGGAGTGCAGCGCCTTGCAAAAACAACCTTGTCACCCAAAAGAAAGCAGAGCTGGCTTCTGCCACTACAGGAATACTGGTTATTTACAGCACTAGCATAGGATGCGCTTGGGGAAAACAGGTTTGCCCTCTGGCCGGAGCAGTCCGTCACATTCGCAGGGGCGAGCAGTTCAAAGGACAGCTCCCACATCTCTGCCTCTTCCCACAGCCTGCAGTTCTACCCAAATTAGTATCCATAATAGAAAAGTATAATGCTTTATAATAAATTAACATACACACCCACCCGGGCTGCATCTTGCAAGATAAACGCTCTGTCATGTTTACAACCAAATGTTGGCTCCTAGCTTGGACACCAGAAAGATGTCACCCTGACCAGGTCCCTGGGCTCATCTGAAATGGGGACCGCAAGCTCAGTCACAGTCTTTTTAACACACTGGGGTCCCCAGAAGCCCTTGGTTTAGGGAGGACTACTGATGGCTGTAGGTCCCTGCTGTGCACAGGGGTGAGAAGAGGCCACTAAGGTAGCACCCCCCTGCCAGGAAGTGTGGAAGTGTCCATGAAAGGGGCCTGATGTCTCCTAAATTGATGTTTTTGTCTGCTTTGCTTCAGCTGATTTATTCCTGAGAAACTCCTAAGGATAGTTTAAAAAACCCAGAAATTACCTCAACAGCAAAAAAAGTGTTTGGTTTTGTTTCTTTCTTTTTTTTTAAAAAAAAAACAACCCAACAAACCAACAGAAGTCTTACACCTCTAAAACTCATGCTGCAAAAATATCAGAACTAGAGGCCAAACCAAGAGCAACACTACTCTGCTTAACAGCAACGTCTCTGAAATGAGTAAATGCCAGCAAAAGGAAACTGCCCCTGCTAAATCAGTGCCAAGGTGCTGAAAAACTGAAGTCACTTGGCTTCCCCCCTTCCCTGCTGAAACAAGTTGTCAAAGGAGCTTCATGCCTCAAAATCCAATAAAACACAACACTTCTTCCTAACCATGTTCTGTTAACGCTGAACATGGGCTTTCTGAAAGCTTTCCACCTGCTTTAGTTTCACAGTTTGAGCGCTCTGTGCTCTTCAGAAAGGAGAACAGAAGCATAGCTGCAGTAAAACCCCTCTTACCTTCTCTTCTTGGGATACAAGAAGACCAAGGCAAGACCATGGTTCAGTCAAGAGCAATTCAAGTGCCAAGTGCTACCCTGCAGACCCTTTCCCCATCACTCCTGTTTCACAATGCCCCAGGCCTGCGCAGAAAAGGTAAGGCTAGAACACAGAACACTCTTTCACTCCAAGAAGATGCAAAGTGGCTGTTGCTCACCTCCTGCTGCTGTTCTCAGTCTGCTCCAGGTGTTCACCTACCCCCAGAATTACACTGGAGCAGCCCCAAACAATGTCACTTCAGTGCTAAATACTGCACACCCAAAGAAGAGACCTCTCCTCTCCAACACAAAACAACCACCTCATGAAGAAAATCAAAGAGTAAAACTTGTAAAACAAAAGAAATCACATCTATAATCTCACACCTAAATAAGGATGACAGTGAATGGTGTAAAAAACCAAACCCAACAGAGCTGCCACCAGGTATGCAATACATTCCACAGCACCGACAGTTTGTTTCCTGGAAGCACAGGTAAACAGTGGAGCACTTCCAAACCCACGGATGTCAAAACCCATCAGCTTGAGTGATTCCAAAGACGAGTGGCGAGAGTGTACCCAGTGATCTGGGTTTCCAGTGAATATTACTAACACAACACACGCCAGGTTACCGAATCTATTGCTTAAATTGCTCTCGGATTAAAAAAAAAAACAACAATAAAAACAAAAAAGCCAAGTGATATGTAAATCTTCACCACTCACTTCTCACAAGTGAATGGGCTTTTAAAGTCGAGTCTCTTTTTGCACTATTTGTTTTAAACCAGTTCATGAGCAGCTGTAGTCTTGTGGCTTGATGCAATTCTTTAAGGCTCCATGCTGACAAAATTATCTGAGGAACAATAAAAACTTCACCACAGGAGGATTGCTCTGGGATGTCGAGGTTTAAAAGTGTGGTTCAGGCCCAGGACTTGCACAGATGTTCAGCAAAGCGAGCGTCCCATATTTCTACCTTTTGCCTCTTGTTTTGGCCCTGAGCTGTTTGTTAACTCCTGTGTGGCTGGCACAAGTTCAAAACCTTCCTTGTTCCTCGGGAGGAACAAGGTGTTTTACTCTTCACAGAGGCTGACGAACTGATCTTCCTACTTCCATGCTAAGTGGCTGTGCATTTTTCTCTGTTTCTAGTAACTCATCAAAGATATCCCTAGAACAGAAGGGAAAGACCAGTAGTGAAACTTAAGTACAACAACAGACTGCTACATAAGACACCCCTGAGGAAATCAGCCACTGGATTTAATCCACAACCTCAAGCTCATGGATCCTGGCAGAGAAAGGTGTTTTATCTGGCACCTCAAAGCCAGGCTCCTTGAATCCCACAGCACTTCTTTTTAACTTTTTAATTTATTACAGTGAATAAGGTCAGTACTAAGCCTCGGAGAACAGTAACAATAGTCAAAATAACTCCTGGCTGGTAAAAGGCTCAGAAGCAACACAGGACACAGCCTGCAGATGAAGTAATATCTTTTATTAAAGCAAGCAGTAAAGACAGATGAAGGGGACAAACTCAGGCATAGAACCCCTTCTTCAGTTTCATGTGCCTGAAAAGATACCACTTCTACCTACAAACCTCATCTTACCTGTGTCCCAAGATGACACTGGCTGCAACCACGCAACCACACAACCACCAGGAACAGAGACAGGGCTTTTACAAATATCACAGTGCTTAAGGGAAAAACCCAAGCTGCATTATGATTCCTGGTGCGATGAATGCATAGCTGAGTCTCTGAATCCCCTTCTTAAAATACAATTTAATGCATCTTGTTAAAACCTTATGTATTAGTGACATACAATTCCACGTCTCTGTACTCAGAGCACTTGAATTTTGTCATTCTTGCATATAATTCTGACTATGATTTCTTCTGACAAATACATGGAGGCACTTTTCATCCCAGCAGGATGAGGAGGAAGAAGAGAAGCCCACTTCCTCTTCTTCCAGTACCAGAATTCCCCAAGACACCTACTTGTGCATGTAGAAGAAGATGTAGCCACTTCGGTCTCTGTCACACTGAACGGTGGCCTCTAGTGTTCTAGACACTTCCAGGTCATTGTAGGTGAACCAGGACTGCTTCTTGATATCATAGACATCACTGATGTAATGACCTTTAAAACAGAGAATGCACCTTTCTTTTCATGCTGCAGTTCAACCAGTAAGCTGGTTGGCTGGATACTCTGGTTCAGCAACCTACATCAGATTTAAATGCTAAAGACCCTCAAGATCCTGGTCCCTCCATCCCTCCTGGGCAATAAGCTGGTAACAAGCACAAGCAATTCCACAAACCCTGTAAGCAGTACACCATACACATGCTGCAGTGAGGGACTATGACATCCTCAACCTGCTCCCCACCAACAAACCATGACAGAAGACTTGCTTTGCTGCCGGAACTCTTCTCTGCAAGTAATCCTGTTATGGTAATGCTGTATTATAGAATTTTTAAGCTAGGTAGCAGATGAAGAATAAAATACAGTATCTTTTACCTGAAGATGATGTGCTTCCGATGTGGCTGACAATGCTTATGAGACGATACGAGTGAGGAAGCTCTCCTGTCTAAAAAAAAAATAAATAGTTCAATTAAAGCTTTTGGGCATTCACTCTTGTCCTACACAGCTTATGGGCAAGATGATTTGTATCTGAGATACCAGCTTTGGCTATTGCATCCAAAGCTACAACTCAACCAAAGATTACGGAAACACACAACCTGGTTCAGACCAAACAAGGAGTCTTTCCAGAAGTGGGAAGAAGCCTCCCATCTTATTTAATCTTTCAGCAAGCCAATGAACATGCAAGAAAGCCACTGTGACCCCAGAACAGATGCTGACATGAGGTCTGCGCTGCAAAGTTTTCTAAACAACCACTTCCTGACCGACTTCCACTGATGTCAGAATTCATTCACCAAATAAACATAGAAAGGCAAAAAGGGAACACTTCTGATATATCAAAGAAATACCCTTGATAATGGCACACAGATTTAACAGCTAACACAGGATATCTTTAAGGTCCCTTCCAACCCAAACCATTCTATGATTCTGTGTAGCCCAGATTCTCTCATCCTGCACCTGTAATGTTAGCAGACAACGCCCCTTCTGCATGCAGGAAACATGCTTGCTCTGTTCACTGCCAATAAAACTAAACGATAGTAATTGGCTTTTGGCAATATTTAATGCTCTCTGACCAGGAAACATTATTGATATGATTCACTGACAATACTCTTAGAATATTAACTCTTGGTTTAAGGGTAAGGAGATCAGTAAAGAGCTGCAAGAAAATAAAAACTGCTCAAAGAAACTCTAATTACTTAACCTTTTCCATACTACACAGTACTCCTTCCACTGAGGCAAGCAGGCAAGTTTCACAACACTGCTGCGTGGAGTCTCAGCGTGCCAGCAGCCAGCAGCACAGCCTAGGTTACAGTTAGGTTTCATCTAATGGGAGTAAGACATTGCCACAGCTTCTCAGTTCTGGTGGTGCAGGATCTAGAAGCCCATGGCGTTGCAACTAAACTACTACACTGGCTGAAGTCCTCTCTGCAAGTAAAAATTTCAGGCCCGCTGCTTTACATGCACTGAGACATTTCTGGTATAAAATCGCTGTTTCCTTTTCATCATTATCCACATCTTAGAGAAACTCAGAAGGTCTCGGCAGCTGTTCTGGTTTGGTTTCTTAAAATTAAAAGGACATCAAAGGAGAGACCCTTTCTAGACTCTACACCTGCTCTGTAAAACTATCTCCAACACTAAACTGATAGGAAAGAAGGGGTGTATGTCTCAGTTAGCTTTTGAAATCATAGATCACACCTCAGCGTTTCTTTTCAGCTCTTCTGCTTCAGCTTCTGAATATTCCATGTCAAGAACATCTTCATTCCCAGAGTCTTCGTCAGAACCAACACTGTCCAGGAGAGAGCTGTTGAACTCTAGATAGCATGGAACAATGATATTGCATAAGAAGCCATAGCACACACAGGAATTCACAACAGGTTGGGGTATATCTAATCACATAAACAAAATGCTAATGCTTCAAGCTTCCTTTCCAAGGAAAGTAGGGGATACTGGAATTTCCAAATAAAAACTTTCTCTCCCTTCCCCAATTTGTCAGAGCAATAGTTAAGAAAAGTATCTTAGACTACACAATTCATTTTAGCATCCTCTCCCTCATACTTTTACAAAAGGGCACTATGGCAATGACAGCTGGGTGATAAAAGAGCACTTAACTACCCAGTTCACGCCAGAGCACCAGTCATCTGTAGCCAGAATTGATATTAAAAGCAGTACAGTCTAGTCAGTGCACTGTAAGATTCTGCAACAAGCAGCTATGAATTACAGTTTTAACTATAAGTTGCAATAACAAAGTGCATTTTCCAATTAAAACTGGCATAAAAATGCTACTGCTGGCAGCAGGCATCTCTTCACTGCTTTTCAATGGTAAAAAGGCTGCTCACCGCAGGAACTTCCAGTTTGCTTGGCTGAGCAAAATGCAGGCAGCTTTCTGTAAAGAGCCGGAAGGCACCAGTGCTCCCTGTACATGCTGTTCCAAACTTCCTGAGATTCTGCAGCTACCCCACTAATTTAAGATTTGGTACAGTACTCATTAGAAGTAGCTACGCTTTTACCAGCGAAATGAAAGCTGTGGAGCCCTTGGCGGATGAGAAGTTGAGATTAACAGGACACGGCTCAGGGTTTGGGATTTTTTCCCCCTTAAAAAGACTGTCATGCTGGTTATGATGGAGATGTTTTGCCAAAGAGATTCTCACACTGCTTTCCCTGTTAAGTCATCAGACACTGGATTAGTATAATCTTCTCAGGAAGTTTATAGATGAATCCCTCTAGCTGAGAATATTTTACTGCTGGTTTCCACACTTCTTGGGGCTGTTGGCTCTGTAAGATAGACTGCAGCCAAGAAACGCAACCACTTAGGTAGGTTTCTGCATGAAGCACTTGCCACAGCTATTGCTAAATGCCACTTCACCAGCGGTCCCTGGATAACTAGTGGTTCTTTGATTGGAGCACCACTGGGAGCCTGCCTAAGACAAATACTAGCAGCTACAACTTTGAGATTGTAAGCAGGAACTTCAACAACTGCTGCTGATGTTGCCTTACAAATGAGACAGTAGCAAGTAGAGAAGCACAAGGCAACTCTCATGTTTAAGTTAAGCAACTGCAAATCAGGAGGAGGAAGGATTTCTCGCCTTGAATTCTTCCTGGACACGAATCGAGGCAGACCTGAAAAGGACTGGGCACTCAGTCTGCCAGAGCTCATCAGGGGACACCACTCAAGACTGGGGGACGCTAAGGCAGCATTCAACTTACTTTGCTTCTCCTCAGAAGACACAGGTTGATCCAGTAATAACCAAATGTCTTTAAAGGTGCCTGAGCAACTACAAGAAACTTAACACAAGACTTCATTACCCCTCTCTCTCCCTCTTTGGAGGGGAATTTTTTCTGTTGCTTTACTCTGCCAGATTGTATGAAATCACTCGCATGCCAGCCTCACACAAATGTTAAACAGTGCCTGAGGCTCACCACACTGCCTGGATTTGGAGAAGGCAGATAGTGTATTTTGGATTTCTATTTTCATCCCCAACAGCTATACCTTGCAGTGAGGTCTGTGTCCCTCCCAGCCTGCTTCAGATACAGCACTCACTCGTTTTCCTGGGCAAGGCCAGTGCATTTGCTAATTAGCACTGCAATATCAATGCAAGTAAGAAATAATCCTTATGCTCTGACTAGAGCCATTAGCATGCTGTTTTTTGCTGGGAATGAAAAATTTCAAGGTCCATTTTGCTCTCTCTAGATCAATATTAAACATATAATACATTTATTGTATTACATTAGATATATTTAACATATTACTTATATGTAATCTATATATATTATAGATCTAATTAAAAACTCAAGAAACTGAAATCAGTCATTTTTCATATTAAGTTTTTCCTGGCATTTGCTTTCACAACCAAGAGCAAGAAAAGCTAACCTGAGCAAAGCCAAACACAACAAAGCGCACACCTAAAGAACATGAAATCCCAGCTGTCTTACAGACACTGAGGAGCTGCACTCATACACACAGATCTATTTTCCCTCAAAAGCAACATCATGGAAGAAGTTAAATAAGCTTCACCTTGTAGACTTAATTCCGTGGCTCGTTTAAGGTCATCATCCTCTTTTTGTTCTCGTGCCTCCTAATGGGAAGAGAACAAAACTCAGCTCATTGAGACACTTCACTGTTTAAAATTCTTGTGGTGCTCTTTTTCCATTGAAACTGTGCTGTTCTGGTTTCTACAACAAACCTGACACTAAATTAAAGGTTCTGTGTGAAGGAATGTTTGCAACCAGCAAGAATCCAATGTTCTCGTGCAACAGAACCTGGGACAAACCTTCATTAAGGCTCGTCAAAGCTCCTGAGGTTTGGTATGCAGCAGAGCGAGTCTCCAGTAACACCAAACGCTTTCCCTGGATCATTAATTTGAAAAGCATCTGAATGAATTTGCAACCCTTCACTAAGAAAAGCTGTCACCTACACACAAAGCTCCTCACACTTCGACAAAATTTAGACTACTTCTGCCCAAAGCTGGCTGAGGACAGAATCATTATATCCTGACAGATTTCATTATTTTGAAGCCCTTAGAAAGCAGAGCCAGTGGTTGTGCAAAGCAGGTGTAATTTACAAAAGCAGGATGCAAAAATCCCCACCACTAAACAACCAGGTATTAAAAATATTACCATGAACAAGTAGCAAAGAAACCTCAAGTCAACAAACTCTTCTAATCTTTGGATAGCATCACACCCCTGTTCCTCCCACCACTCTTGGAAAGCTCAGAGCTGCAACAAGCCATTCAATAATATTTAATGAGCTGGCTCCTTAATTCAGGGTTTGAATGCTTTCAGTGCACCTGAACACAGAACCCTAACTATGTATTTCAAATGAAGATAACCACAGCTACCACATTTCCATGCCTGAATCATTAGAATAGCAGATTTTTGCTTCAGAACTGTAGCAGAACAACACTCAAAGGGCAGTTTTACATTATTAGCATGAGGCCTTTTATCTTACTATTTCTAAAGCATTTGGGAATCTTTGTTAAACTACTCAGCATTGCTGAATCAAAGCTACATCTGGCATGGAACACACCAACCCGCACCTCATAATGAGTAATGGTAGAGAAAAATCCAAGAGCCATGGAAACATTAGATCTTGTAAGGAAAACCATGACAGCTTTAGTATTAATAGAGAGCAAACAAGGGCACCTATTTAAAGAAAGACCTGGCTGAACGCTTGCTTCACTCTCAGCAGCTTGGTTAAACTTGTGGAAATCAGTTACAGATCTTGAAATTTTAAGTGGAATACAGATGGTTAGTACACAACTCGAGATCCCAATTCTTTTCAAGTCTAATTTAAAGGACTTGTTTTATATGAAATTACCTGAGATCCTTTTGTCAATTTATTAACAGAGAAAAATCATATAAATGCTCAGTTCCTACATTCTTTCTTCACTAAGCATCCCCTACTGGCTAATACTAGAAATGAGGCACTGGGATAGACAGATCTTTAACCTGACCCGGCACAGTTGTTCTTAGGATTTGGTCTGAAACCTGCCACTTTCACTGAGTCTTGACATGACAGGTTGCAAGAAGCAACTGTCAGGAAAGCTAAAGGTGAGCTTGGTTCTCATTGACAGGCAGTAAGAGCTTAGTTCAGTTTATCATCATTTTTATATAATGTTACAAACACCAGTGTATAAATGTGCATGGAAAGCTTTGAGAAATCTGCAGGTCTGTGATGTGATACGTGGTTTCCAAAGCACACACAAAATGTGCCCAGATGTATTCAGTGCCACCACTCTACTGACACTGGAGCTAGAAGAAACCCAAACCTTTTTTCATCTGGTTTTCTCAAGTGAAGCAGCCAAACCCCTCTGCAGTTACTGCCCAAACATCAGCTTTTGCTTCAGCCATTGGGTTTCCAGTGATGGGCAAGGTAAGTCAAGGAAGCAAACTTTATTTCTTACTTGCTCTTGAAGGCTTTGAGCCAGTGCCTGCTGAAGCTCTTGTTCTTCCCTCTCTCTCTCCATGTCGTACTGTTGCAGCCAGTCAACCTCCCCCTGGGAGCCTTCCGGAGTTTTGTTTTCCTTATTCTCATCAAAATCTTTAGTTATCTCAGTGAAATTGGCAGGACCTGGGGAATGAGAAAGTACAGATATGCTTTCCTGGGTCTTCTGTTACCAGCTAAATCCTCTTTAAATTACCACAACCCTTGCAGCACAGTGACATCTATTGACAGCGAGAGTTCACCAGCCATGAACAAAAGCACACAAGTCAAACAGAAAAAGCTCCAAAGCACAGTCTTGCACTTATTCCAACAGGTGTAAAATGAATCATTTCCTTAATCCCTAAACCTGTTTCTCTTCGCAGCCTTTTGTTCAGAAACAGCAACTTCAACTAAAGCAAGATGTCACAAGGCACTAGGTTTCTGCAGCCATGAAGCCGACACTTGAATTTCTCTAGAAAGAACTGTGGATTATAAAAATTTGCATTGCATATTATACCTCAGAATGCTACAGACGAAGCCACAATTAAAGCCAAATCATATGTAAGACAGAGGGAAGCACAGATCTTAAGCACTATTTAAATTTTTTAACTTTTTGCTTCAGGTAAGAGCTTTAATCTTGTGAACACCATCTACAGCATTAAAAGTGCAAGAACATTATAACTTTTCAGTTCACCTTTAAAGTGAATGCTGTGGCAGAAGTATCTTACAAAACTTCTAGCATGAACATTCATTCGACCATTGCATCTATCTCCTGCAGTTGCAAGACACCTGCCATCTGCTCGCAGATGAGAAAGTGAGGACCTGCTCCCACAGTTTTATCACACAGCAACATGTGAAGCTTTCATAGTTTTGCCCTATGCAGACTTCAACATCTGCTCGTTAGTTATTAGCTAGGATTGTACAAGGCAGTCTCAGCATCTGTGAGCTCTTAAATACAAGACCACCAGAGCCAGAACTATAATCTGCAAGTCTAATCTTCTTAAGATGAAAAACAAAACTGAATTTATGACATGACCTTTGAACGCTTCCAGCATAAGAAGAAACAGCTCACAAAACTGTTATTTGAGGATCATGTAGCAAAAAAACCCATCCTCTGCCATATCTAAATTAGCTTTTTTTGAAAGCCCCACAAATTATTCAGTCTTTAAAAAAAAAAATACTATTACCGGCAGTAACAAAAAATGGACGAGGTTAAATCTGGCATGTTTAGAATCATCTTGCGTGTTACAGCAAAGGATCTCTTGCAATTAAGTTTCCTTTAAATAGAACAGGAATGTGAACCCAGGGCATGTTACATCCAGCTGCCATAACTGGTAACTCAGCATACACACACAGCTCATCTGAATGCCAAACAGAATGCTTTGAAGCAGTGCTTTGGTCAGACACAGTCAAACATAAAAAGCTCAACGTAATGTTCAGTGTTTACTTCATTCTTAAACAGAAAATACAGAAACTTTTATTAAAGACATACTTGTCACAAAGTGACACAATATTGTGTCACATGCTGTCACAATAGAGTCTTCAAATAATTACATTACACTCTCCAAAAAAAACCTGGAGATACATTTATGTGACCATGTTCACAACTCTTTTCACACAGCCGTAAGGAACATTAGTGTACATTAAGGAGGGCACAAATGAGGCTGACCACAGACTTAGTTTTCTTTACATACTGCCTTCCAACATGAAAGCTGTCCATTGAAACAAGTGTGATTTTTGAGAACAGAGTAGTGCTTGTTGTTATTAACAACTAACCTCCTGGCTCTTGGAGGAGAGCATACTGTTGGTCTGTTTTTCCAAGCTAGTGGAATTTAAGATCTGTCTGAAAGCATGTAGCACACAGCAAATGATAAACATTTAAATTTCCTTCCACCAACTATAGGAAGACAATTTCCCTACACTGAGATCAAACAGGCTTCTTCTTGTACTTAACTGTGTTTCTAGGTCAAAGGCCATAATACACATGCCAAGCCTCTTACGCTCAAGGGTCTCCTCTCACATTAAAAAGTATTAGAAGAAATTACAGAGATAAACATAATTTATCTCTGTATAAATGTAATTTAGTAACTAGTGACAAAACAATTGCATTTACGAAAGCATTCTAGCCTTATGCACGCCAGACAACAATCGTGCACACCAGCAATGTAAACACTGCTACTGTGCTGCCCTGGCTGCAACTGCTACAGAAATGAAAATGCTTCCTGATTATGGAAGATTAAGTTCCAGACACTGCCAAATCTTAGTAAATGAAATTGTCTGGTACAGAAACCAAATGGAAATTTGTTAATCAGGAGAGAAGAAAAAAACCCAAAGGGAATTAACTCTGAAGATCAGCATACCTTTATCAGAGAGGCAACAGACATTCAAAAAAATACATTTCCACAGTTCAATGAATTCAACAGTAACAAAACTAAGGAAGCCAGGCAGCTTCAGCAGTGCACTTACAGCCAGATTCTGCTGCCATGCATTACTAACCTGATGCTATCAATAATCCACTTTAGCTCACTATAGTCCAACTAAGGTAGGTAGTTCGCCTTACCTGAGTCTAATGTTGCTTTTGGTTTCTCCATCTCCATAGATTCCAGGCTTTCCGGCAACTCCTGAATTTCATCGTCTCCAAAACCAGTGTCTGGGCTGCTTGTAGGCTTATCTTCATCATGGCTCAGAGACAGAGAAGCTTCCCTTTTGCTAATCTCTAAGACAGCTGCTAGCAGCTCATCTTCGCTCATCCCATCAAAACCAGCATTACCCAGCTCAGGTTTATCACCCTCCATTTTACTTCTTTTTGAACCCTAGAGACGAACAGAGTTATGATTAAGTGCTTGAATAAACAGGTATATAGCATCAGCTTTAGTTTTATTTTATTAACCCCAGGGAGTGGGAGCTTGGCTCTGTCAACATTAAACAGAGTTATATGAGACTCAACGGAGAGACAACCTTTGCAACTATGCTCACTTCAAGGAATATTTAAATATAAACTATAACCAAGTTTTTACAGGCCCTGTGGATTAGCATACAAAAGATAACCCTTCCCTTCTTTTCCTTCAACACATGTGTTCTACCTTTAGGTTCTGATGAAACCTCAAGCCTCTGGCAAATCAGTGATGAGGCACAAGTAGTGAAATTGCAAGTTTGTTAACAAAGGCTGAAGCAGCAACATGAGAGTAATGGAACTTGAACACAGGGATGGAACAACAGGAACTGAAACAAGGCTGGTATGAAGAGCAATTAAAATCAGGTTTGGTGCTGTAGACTTGCCATATAAAATCTTGGGGGCAGGGGGGAGGGAGAGGGGCAGGACTCTGCAAGTCAAATGAGAAAACAGTTAACCAGGGAAAGGAGTGTGTGGGGGGGAATTATTCTTTCCTTGGGAGAACAGAATGACTTTAAATTGCAAGAAGGAAAAACCACTTTTGTCTTAATCTGAATCTTTCCTTTTTTTCAGTTATCTTCCTAAACTTGACGCTCATTAACTCCTACATCATACCGATTTGCAACTAATATAAAAATGATTGAAATTACTATATTAACTGTTAATCAGGAGGTTAACTTCCATTTTCATAATTACACTACTTAGCATATGCTTAGATTTTTTCCCCTTCTATTATGTTAAAAATGGGCAAAAATAGTTTCTACGAGAATGTATTTGTCCAGGTCTTGTTCCAAACTGCACACAGATGGATCTCAAAACTTTGATAAAATGAACAAAAATATATTTTTATTGCTGCTTTTTACTTCAATACAGCAAAATTTTGCTGAACAAGACTAACTTCATATAACAAACATTTTGTATTAAAACTGGCTTATCAAGCAAGATCAGCAAAGGAACTGGCAAACTAAATTGCTTGTTCTAGACATCCTGACCTCCAAAAATTAGAAGTGACAAATTTAAACCTCTCTCCTCACACCTATTCAGGCACTGAATAAGGAAAGCAGAGTACCTGCTTTTTAAGCTTTCTGATTTCTCTCTCCACACCTGTAGGGTACTAATGTCAAAACTGGTTTAGCTTTTCAGCAAACACTAGTTCTGGGCACTTTGCCAACCACCACCACTATTTCAGTGGATGGACTTTAAAGACTTGGCAGCATCTGTGCATTATATAAATACAACTTTTTAATTAGAAATTATTTGCATAGATTTTAAGTAGCTCAGGCACCAAGACAGGCTGCTTTAAATAAGTATTTTTTAAAAGTACTTCAAATACTACTTCACCTGCAGAGGCAGAAATCACAGTTCTGCCCACTTCAGCTGGATGACTGCTATTTGCCCCTACAACCCAATATTGCATACACCCACTGTTCCAGCTCCTATCCCACATAGCAGCACTGTTTTGCAAGCACTGCCCTGCAGGGGATATACAGCCCTACAAAGTGACTGCCAAGCCTCTAATGCAACCCCATCCACAGCTGCTATGAGAAGCACACCAATGGAAATAGTGCAGCAGCAGTAATGCCACTTTCAAGGACCAGGACCAGGACCTGGTCTTCCCAGGACAACACTGAGAAGCACAGAGGATATGGTTAATGGTAACAGGTGGCTCATCAGGCTTGTGGTTGAGGAGTGGCCAATGTGCATGGCCACAATGAATGAAGTCACTTGTGTGGAATTATCACCACCACTGCCTTTTTCCCACAGCAGGCTGCAAAGCCTATAATTAATTTGCTATTAAAATTAATGTTTTATTCCCACAATTTCTGCACTCACAGTGATAGAGACTACCTACACTTCCTCACAAAAAAACTCGAGGAAGAATCACTTGGGATAGCTTGGACTTCAAAGACAAGCTAGTTTCCTTCCCCACCCACAGGCAGGTACAGATGTGCCATGCAGCAGAGCAGTTGCCTACACTGCTCCCGAGACCTTCAACAACACAGGTTTTCTGCTTTCTCCAAAAGCAGCCCATTCCATCTCTAAACATTCTGAGTATCACAAAGTTTGCCTTAATATCTAATCTAAAAATTACTCTCTACAATTTCAGCTATTACTTCTTGTTCTTGTTCTATCCATCACAAGCATGGAAAACAGCCCAAGTATTTATACCTATTTCTTTCCCTTCCTTGAAAACACAAGTCTTGTTTAGGTTTCTCTTTAAACTGAAGACCCAAGTTCACTTGCCTGCTCTTTCTCCCAAAATCTTTCTCTCCTTTGGCCCTTCTCTGATTCATCTATAACTCTTTTCAGCCTGGAGCCCAAACCTGGATACAGAGCACCAGCTATAGCTCAATGCTGAGGAAACAAGGGTTACTTCACACAACCTGCAGGCTATGCTTCTGTCTATACGCTTCCGTTTTCAACCAGCCTGACGTTGTGACCGACCATCACCTTTCATGCATTTTCCGAGGGCTCACTGCTTTCCCAGCTGTTGCCATCTGGCCAATTAGTCCTGCAAAGATTAGCACCTTTAGCCTGTTTCTCCTGAATGCCCCTCTATTTTTATGCTATTTCTCAGATTTGTCAAGATCATTTTGAACAGTAGTTCTGAGCTTCAACATACTGGCAGCCCTTCCCAGCTCTGGGTCTTTTGAAAATGTAATACTCATTATCTATTTTATCATTTATTAAATACTGAGTAGACCAGGATCCTCCCCTGCTTTGATCTTCCCATCAGAAAGCTCTGATATTCTCCTCTTGTTACCTACTGCTATTCAGCCAGCTTTACACTTGTTCTTTAATGCTACAATCAAGATCACAAGTCTCTGCTTCATTAAAATAACCCCATTAACATTGTCAAAAACTTTAGAGAAGCAGAGATGCAGGACACTTGTCCTAAGCACTAGGCCTGCAACACTTAATAGAAGAAAGTGGTACTGCAAGATAATCCTCTAAGCTTCTTGCTTTCCCTTCTGGGTCATCATTCCTTTCCCACACAACTCATCTACCTGCTAATGTACTGCCCTGATAGAGGCAAAAAATATCTTGGCAACATTAATACTAGTCACAATGAAGAGCTTAAAGGCAATCTGAAGTTAAATGTGCCGTCACACCAATGAACTTGGTCTCTACAAGCTTCTCCACGTCTGCCCCCAAAGGCTGATAGCTTCAGTTTCTAAAAGCATTTGAAAAGCCATACTTGAAACAGGACAGAGATTGGATGTCTGAGAAGTTCTCTCAATTGAGTATTTTGCTCAGCCCAACTTGTACTGGACCTAATTTGATCAAGGGCTTTACTGCATTTACATCCCATTATATTTCAGCCTGGGACATTATTAATGAAAGTTACCCAAAGGACTGACAAAACTGCTAAGCAGCTGGTATACCAACTTGAAAACTGAAGTGCAGTTGCAATGCAATTACCTCCGTTCCCAGTGGGAACCCAAATCAACAGTACAGAGAGGTCAATTAGCAAAGCACTCCCTTCCAGCATCTCACAGTGCTAATTAGGTGAAAAAAAACCCAACCTTTATCTTGTATCAATTTTACTCACAGTCTGCGCTAAGAAAAGCACAGCCCAGACATGAGCACATGCAGGATCTGTGTATATGAAAGTGTGCTTTTTCCCCTTACCTTTTCAGGCTCTTCTTGTAGTTGTTGCTGATCCTTGCTCTGTATGTTACATAACCTTTGGCTGTGGGCAACGGAGCGTTTCAATGGCTCATCATCGCTGTCAGAGTCTACAGAGTGTGCTGAGGAGCTCTTTGACTTGAAAGTGTATTTTCTGTAAGTTAAAAACATGGCTATAAAACTTTAAAGCACTGTAGAATTGTACAAATCTGTTTTGAAGTAACTGTTAAAGAAGTGTTACACCCAACTTTCACACCGTGGGGCAGTACAATTTTGGGAACAAACCGCACCAACTGACAATGACAATTTGTTAACACAGTGGGCAGGGTTTTCAGGAAAGGTCTCTTTTACTAGAGTAACTGAGATACCAGCTTCAAGCCTGCAACAGCAACTTACAACGTTAAAAGTTACCAAGTGTGTGGCTTTTGCTTCTAAGGCCAAAGATTCTGCACTTTATAACCTCATAATCCCTCACAGTACTCATCTGAGTCAAGTCCACAGTAACACATAGAACTCTGCAGAAACTATTTGACTTCTGAAGTTTACTAAGCTGGACACAGCTACTTCCCACATCATTGCTAGGATAAAAAAAGTGCAAATCTGCACAAGTTTTTCAGTTTTCCTGAACAGAAGACAAGGTTGTTGGGGGAAGTCACCATTTCTGCTCAATTAGGAAATCTGGTCTTTAAGTATTTTGACTATGCAAAACTATGCAGTGTGATATCACATTTTGCACTGTATCAAAATTTGGCCTTTCAAAACTGCTTATAAAAGCAACATCCTCTCATCTGTGCACATAAACTTAAGGAACTAACCATCTGTTCCCAAAACACACACTGGAGCTCCATAGAGCCAGAACAGAGAAAGGAGCTGGACTGCAGAATTAGAAACTACTTTGCTTCTTACGTATGTGACTTGCAACTAAAATGCAAGCTGTACCAACTAAATCCAGTTCTCATTCTGATGCTCAGCCTTCTGACAAAAGTTATCTTTGCTGACTTACAAGTCCCCAGAGGTGACCACTTCAACTAGGCAAACTGTACCATGGATATTAATTTCAGCTAGCACGTAACACCAATAAAAAAAAGATGGGAAAAAAGACAGTATCTGAAACATTTTACTAAAATAGAAAAAAGTAGAAAGAAAACAAATAGGAAAAGGGTAAAGACTAAAGAAGAATTAGAAAATGTTAAAACACCTTAAAAATTATCCCACGAAACACCAAGTCGCAGGCATTTCATACCTATAACTCACCTACAAGACGTGGAAGTGCTTACAGTACAGGAATTCACCATTTGGGAGGCTTTCAATGGACGGGAACTATTAAAAAAAACAAAGTATTTATTGCAGCAGTCACTGTCTTAAAAAAAATAAGTATTTACTTGTCTGCTATGCATGCAAATCCATGACCAAAGAAACAAGTAGAGCAGCATTATGTACTTGCCAATTGCTTAGATTTAGAGTAATAACTCCATCATGCTATAAATATACAATAGTTGTTCAAAACCATATATAATCCTTTAAACTTGATCCAGTTCTTAGTGATGCACCCTTAGGGACAAGCTCACAAATTAAAGGCTTTGGGCTCCCATGTCAAGACAACTCATTCCTTTATTTTTTATTCCCACCAACACTTGAGTTCCTGCTCCCAAACCACAGTCTGCTACTGCTATCTGGATCAGCCGGTTTTCAGGCATGTCCCACATCTCCGTTTCTCCTCCCTTACCTAGATTCTTCTGGACAAACTTCCTGCTCCTTTTAATCCTTTCATGGGCTCCTCAAGGTCCATCACTATCACTACACACCTATACACCAGATGGCTGCCAATGCAGAAATCTTTTCTAATCTTCTCCCTCAAAACAGGGCTGCTGCTCTCCACCCTTTCACGCTCCAGTCAATCAGAATGGTTTCAATGACTACAAAAAGCCAGTGGAAAGCAATTCCAAACAAGTTTTCAAGTTTTTCTGCTCTGGTTTGCTAAAGCTGCTTGTTGGGTTTAAGATTTCTATTGTTAAAGCAAACTTGTGAAACATCCATGTAAGTCTCAAACACCACTGAAAGTTCAGCACAAGAACACACGCCACACTGCTGACTGAACACATTGCTCCAGCCACTGTGGTTATGTCACTAGGCAAGGACAAGAGACCCAAGGGCTTCTTGTTCCTTATTCTGTCACATACTTCCTATTTGACAACTGGCACATTTAATCTCTCTGTCATACGACAAGCAGCTGCACAGAAATAACTGTCACAGGGAAAAGGAGAGAGTATTTTCAGCATGTGAAGTGCTCAGACACTACAGTGGCATAGGAAAGACAAAAGAATGATAGCACAGGAGGTGCAAGTGGAAATCAGCAGAGAAAGGTAGGATGTTATAGGTCCTAAGCAGTTTACTGTGTTGTGAAGGGAAAAATAATTTAATTATTTTGGACCAAGAGGCATACATTTTAGAAATTACTAACAGAAGCTCTCTTCAAAAGGAAAGTTATTTTCAAGGACAGTAAAGAACATTATCATACCAAATATTCCCTAGATAATACCCCACCAGCTCTTCCTACTGCTTCTGTTATGCTCCCTTTCCACGCATGATGCACCATTCCAAACTAGCAGCATACATCTGAAGCTGCATAATTTTACAAGTTTCCTTGCCCAGCCATTTTCTGGAGATCTGACAACTGCCTGCGTTGGGGCAGGTGTGGTTAACAGGCCATAGATCAACCACTTACATTGCAGAATGAACACTCCATCCCAGTGTCAGCGGCAGCCTAGTGTTTTCCGTACAGTGTGAAAGCAGGGTCAAGTATCTTGGAATAACCACCTGCTGCCCGACTTTATGATTGAGGGACAATGCTACATTGAAGCTGTATCGTTTCAGATGAAGAATCAGGACTCTGGAAGAGATGCAGAACAAATGTTAATCTCAAGATAGAAGACAGAAATCCCACTCAAAAACCAAGTAGCCCTGTTTACAAAACACATTCATCTGAGTCTAAAACAGATCGTTACTTTGGGGTGGTAGGGAAGCACTACCCATCTCTTATGTGGCAAGAGACAGGTGATTACTCTCCTGTGGATCACTCAACTTTGTGCAACGTGCAGAGTGCAGACTGCCGACTGAAAAGGCTTTCTGCTTTGGTCTGCATCACCTTGCTCTTCAGGCAAGCACAAACAAGGAGCTTTTGACAAACTCCTTATTTCTGCTATGCAGTGAGAGGTAAGAAACAATAAAAATATTACAATTATAGGACAGAATGCTGGTATATTACTCCCAGATATTTAAGACTGAGATGGAGAGATCACATAGCTACCCAAAATTGATGAGGAACTACGCCTCATCAATAGTGTAAGATGTGTACTCAGTTTATCCATCATGACACTTTCACTTTAAGAGATTTTTATCACAACAGCATAAAGAGCCTGAAAAGGCCTCCTTACACTGAACTCTTTCCCTTATGCCACACATGGCATAACTCATGTAATGTACTGTCTATATAGTTCATTTAGCTGTACCATCACTTCTGTTGTGCTAATATTCAAAAAAATTTGACAAGGGTTTTGCAGTGCTTTCATAAATACACTATTTAAGCAAACCTCACGCTAACTACTGAGTTACTGGGTTCAGTATGCATACATGTGGGACACAGGCCAGATAAAGTTATCCAAAAGACTTTCAATGCTTTACATCCCATGAGAACATGATCCCTACCTCCATGTGCTTCCACCCTAAATAATGAGCTAAACCCAACCATAAAGTCAGAGACTACTGAGCATGCCATTAGCCCTCTAAGTGTTTGCTTCTTCCTTAAAGCGCTATCCTTGCTGAGAGAAAACAGGTATCAGCATGGTAAGAATTAACTGATCAAAGCAAAACTTTCTATATACCTTCTGGCACTAAATACCTCCAACTCAGTCCTGCCCACCAAATCAGCTGAGCACAAAATATTTAACTTCCAGGATGTATTTATTGTTTCTGCTTCCCTCACACCCCAGAAACCTCAAGAAAAGAGAAAGGGGAAAACTCAGCCCTTGTGTAGTGATAGGCAGGAAGAAAGAAGCATTAAAGAGGGTGCCTGGGAGCTTCTTCAGAGGGAAACTGAAGAACAGCATGAAGACTACTGTCTGCATGTGCATCTTTCTCACATGCTGACCACTGTACATGCTGTCTTACACATTTTCCCAGCTTTATTCTTCAGAGCACTTTTGTTAACATGTGCTTCCAGGAACGAGAGGAACAGATACCAACATTTACCTGGGAAGCCTGTTGAACTTGTGTGTGACAACAGCAGACTTTCCATTGCACTTCTCACAGGAATACTCAATCTCCTCTGCCTTTTTAAGAGAATAGAAAAATGACTAGCAGAACAAAAGACACATCAAACGGATCTCGGCAGAAAGCACATCACTTTGGGCTATCATGGAAGCTCTTCAAAACAGCACTCACACTCAAAATTAAAATTGCCTTCAATGTGACCTAACAAGAGGGCATCTGATAAGAGGACAGGGAGCAGAGCGTAGATGCTGACAACATCCACTAACATAAGTGGAATTTTTCCTTTAAGTCTACTGCAAGCTAGTGAATCAGCCACAGTTGAGACAAATTAGCTTCCAAAGAGAGGGGACAGTTCTGTAAGGTTTACAGTTTTCTCTCCCATATACAGGGGTATTTTTTTTTTGTCACAATAACCTTTGGTGAAAGGTAATTTGACATGAAGTTTTCTCTCCCTTGTTCAAAACCTCAACTTTGTTCCTGAAAAGATATCCTCATCTAAACTTGTCACGGATGTGCTGCACACTTTTGAACAGGCAGCATAATGGGAAGCATCACTGTGTTGAAATTACATGACTTAGCCATCAGACATTTCTACAGCCATTTTCTTTAAGTGAGGCCAAATGACCACTATAATTAAATTTAAAAAAAAAATAAATCATAAGACCTCCACAAGCTTTTAGGCGAATAAGCACATCTATTATTCTGCTAAAAACACTATCTGTAAATGGAGGAAAACCACAGGTCTGCCTCAAGTTATGCCAAAACACGTCACTAATTCACAGATGTAAGGCTCATTTTTAGCTTTCAGAAACCTCACCTTGAAGCTCCACTTACAAGATGAGCATCCATGTACTACAGCTATTTTTTTAATAATTGTATCTGCATGACCTTTTTCTTCCATGCTAATTTAAGCCAGTACATAAGCTGTTGAAGCACCCTCACCCAGGAGAGGAAGCAGCAGTTCCTCTCAGCAAGTATCTCAGCCTGACAGCCTCCCTTCTCTCCTTTGTATTCGTTTATGCCTCAACTCTTCCATCACAAAATGGGGAAGTTTACCTATTTCATAGCATATTGTAAGGATCAGTTAATGTCTGTACAGCATTTTACAATACAACCTACTGTGTACTGTTAATGTACAAACCTCAAAAAAGTGCAAAGCTGATTATTTTACATGCCTGAAATTACTGTCACAGAAACTAATAATCAGCTATACAATAAAAATTTCCATGTGGTACATAACCTACACATACTTCACACTGAATAAAACAACCCCTCCAAAACTATGTACCCGAAAAAAGAGGTCAAGGGAGTCCTGGATTGACCGGGAAGGAAGCAATTTCTTTCTTCGAGGAAGGTCAATGGAGAGGTCATTAAACTGTTCACGTTTAGTGACTGTTTCACCACACCTAGAAAAGAAACATGTTTATTGTAAGCCTAATGGAAAATATATTTGAAATTAATGGCAACTTACATTTTTAGGCTAAAGTAAATTGATCAATCTATTTTTACTTAAAATTAAACTGCTTGCTTATGACAAAGTTGAATTTTGTGATTTCACTTTGATGCTTTAGAAGTTGAAAGAAACATTTGTTTAAGGGTGAGAACAAAAAAACCACAGACTGCTTTGGAGAGGCAAGTGATTAGGTATACAGGAAATCAAAGTGGCTGCTACGCAGCTGAACACATCTTCTCCATTCAGCATTCTTAAGAGAAGTGAGCCTAGCCCAGAAGGGGAAGCCTAGAAATACTTTCAAACTGTTTTTAGAAAGAAAATAGTAGAGTCCATCCTTAAAAACAAAAAAACCACAAACCAAACAATAAAACAACAGCAAACTCCACCCCCCCCACCAAATCAACCAAACAAAAAACCCACAGAAAACCCCTCAAGTTTCTCATGGTATGTTTTGGAAGAAAAAAAAAACCAACCAACCAAAAAACAACCCTATAATAATATGTCTTAACTAATTACAATTATTAGCTGCAAACAATTTACTTATAATTATTTTAGGGAAGTAATGCAGTACACACAAAGTAATATCCCCAGACATCTGTGTTCATGAAAACTCTGTGGCATGCAAGCATCCCGAATGGCAATCTGCTGCAAAGGTCATACACAACAAATGCCCAGACACAGAATCACAGAATCAGCTAGGTCAGAAAAGAGTTGATTCTACTGGCTCACATAGTGGTCTACATCTTTTTCTGCAATAACCTACAGAGATAGAAGAAAATACCATTGCCTGGAAGCCCTTGGAAAGGACAAATTAAAACCATGGCTTCCCGTCATTTAAGAGATAACATTACTTGGCTAAAACCCCCTTTCCTCTCTATTCTCATATAACCAGTACACAAAAAACAAAGCACAGAGGCTTTCCACTGGATATGTAATGAAGAACCAGATAGTATGAGACGGTTCAAAGAAGGTCTGTAGCAGCAGACAGCATGGTGTGAGGTTTACAGCATTCTTAGACCATAGAATATTTTCTAAATATCTATCTTTGGAAATGAAATAGTTCTTAGTTCTAGTTCTAACCTGCCGATGAAGTCATGTAAGACAGGAACACTTCAGCATCATTTAAGGCAAGTATGACAAAAGCTCTCAAGCATACTTACATTTTGCAAATGATAGAATGTTGAACCTCAAACTCTAAGTTACTGATAACTGGACATGTATAAACTTTGGTGGCTGAGAGGTCATCAGAAGCCCGTCCTGGTGAGTTCTCCTCATTAGGGACTGGCTCGCTCTTCCAAGTTTTGTTTAACTTTTCCATGTCTTCCTTCAGCTGATCCAGGCACTGGCTCAAGAACTCATGTGCATCCTAGAAAGAGGGTAAACTCATCGAGTAATTCTGCACAACTCCATTCAGTATCTTTCTCTCAACACACACACAGACTGGGGAAATTATATTCTAGCTCATCGCATTCAGCGATACTAAGGCAGTTCTGCTCTAAAACACAGGAGGCAGTTGTTGTCATTCAGTCCAAAGCTCAAGTCACTGTCAAATAGAGCTGAAGCCTGACAGGCGTTCAGTGCAGTCCAAACACTGAACAGATTACACGTAACTGTTTCTAGTCAACATGGTACTTACATTTTGCATGTACCCAGAAAATCTCTCTGCAGTAGCTGAAATGGCACTTTTCACCTTCTTGAGCAGCTCCTTCTTAACCTCAGGGCTGCAGACATCCTTCTTAGCAAGCAGATGGGCAAAACGTCTGCAGAAGTCAATGCAATGAAACATTGATTGGCTTTCCAGGACTTCAGAGAAACAAAATAAAACTCACAATACCTCATTTTAAGCGTCTCTAAAAGCTTTTGTCCTGTGGTAAGTGGCTAAGTGGTTCTGTATGAGAATTTATCATATACAATTAACCTTTTCCATTTCAAGTATTTTGAAATCTCATTTGAGACTGTCACTGGAATTGGACTCTAACAAAAATAAAATAAATCACAACCTTTTAAGGCAGAGAAGAGCTTTATAAAGTTCTATAAACTTATTTCTGCTATAGTTTTTACAACAAGGGGGAAACAAAACCCCAAAACACAGTGCCTTTTGAAAACATTTGTACTGATAGGAGACAAGAAATCACATGGCACCAAAATAACCAACACAAAATCGTTAAATTCAACTTGCGTGATCAGACTGGTTTCTATTTTTTTCACTTTGCCACCAGAAATATAGAAGATATAAAAGACTGCCTGTAACTCAGCACTGCAATTTTCAAGAGCCTACTTCTTATTTCTAAATTAAAACTCCAAAACACAGACAGCTCTAGGATTTATTACCTACACATGAAAATTACCCTCTACAAAGGTGCTTCAGTATTACAAAATTAATTTCTTAGTAATGAAAGAAAAAATCCTTCCCAGAAAAGTGAATTTTACCTGATAAGAGCATTCAGCGGAATTTTTTTCCATGGGATACCCTGCTTGAGCAAATCATTAGCAAAAGACTGAATTGAAAACAAGGACTGTAGAATGGCATTCATATAGCAGGTGTTTCCCAAGTTTGAGAAGCTGAAAAAGAAAAAAGACTGAACGTGGTACCTACGTCAATGTACAAACATGCCAATGTTAAACACGACACTGTCAATAAGTATGACATCCACCCCAGCGTTTCTCATTGGAGCTGTCCTCCTGCCCTTCAGACCAAACTGAAAACTCATGGGAGGTGGCTTTTAGCAGGAAGGAACCCATGAGTTTCAGCAATCAAAATTTAAAAAACAGTGTATCTATATATACAAGACAGAGAAATTAATCATGGAAGTGTAGGAGAGGAGCATGAATTAATTGAAATTATTGTATCTCTTAAATTCTCAGGAAGTGAATTTAAGAACATCTATTCTCCAAGCTAGGAAAAGTATTCCCTGTCTCAGTGACCATTAATTTCTTTTTTTTTTTTCCTATTAAATAATTCCAACAAGAATGCAGAAGTTCTGATGATCAAAGTGTGCAGGTTAAATAAAGAAAATTAGAGTTACCCTTGTAATTGCTGTTGAGGATGGGTGGAAAGGGGCACTCGGGGTTTGTTCCACCCTGTGTAATCTTGATTAGATCTCATTTTTTTAACAGAAAGAGGGGCAGGCTGAGAGAGAAATCCTAGGCTTCTTTTGGCTGAAGGGGTCTGGCCGGATACACTAGACCTAAAAACATAAAAAGGATAACAAGTGTAAGATTTCCAATACTCTTCCTTAAATAGCTATAGTCCATGACACTGGAATTGTATCACTATAGAAAACAAGGATTGGTAAGGCCACACAAGGTAACTGGCATGAATCATAATGCAAAAGAGGTGTGAGAAAGAGGAAACTTTTCCTGAGCACCTTAATACTTTTTTTGGTTAAATTTTCTTACATCCACAGGTGTGCATGCAGCATAACCAAGTCTTTTATCACAGAACCGCAGAATGGTTTGGGTTGGAAAAGACTTAAAGATCATCTAGTTCCAAACTCCCTGCCATGGGCAGGGACACCTTCCACTAGACCAGGTGGCTCAAAGCCTCATCCAAACCGGCCTTCAAGATAACCTTTGTCTTTAAGATAACAATTAAGATTTCTCCACACTGTACGATGAGACAAAGAATGATCATGCAGCATGAGATCACCTCTCCTAAGATATAATTAAAATTCACATCTGGGCCAGAGTCTTATTTTTCAGCCTCTTGCAACCTGGTCGCTCAGTCCCTTGTGTGTAAAGCATGGACAATGCTGCTTTTCTTCCTTGATCTTGTATCTCATCTATCTAGGTAAGAGACCAACAGTTTGATTGCAGTGCCTAATACAGAAGAATTCCAACATCAGCAGGATTCAGTATCATATATAATACTGAATATTATATAGTTTCATGCCATTTAGCTACTTGGAAAATGAAGCAAAGATTCAGTCTGAAGTTCCAGAGTTTATATAGAATTTGAACTAACTAGAGCTTAGACACATCAGGACAAGTCATTCACAACAACTACAACAGACTTGGGTGATTTTAGGAAGTCTATCTATTGCAAGCAGTAACTGGAGTTTGAAGATGAGTGAAAAATAAAAGTGTGTGTATACACATACACACACACACATTTTATGCATATAAGCTATATACCATGTGATAAACAGTCAGGAAACTAAAGATCCTAATTCCTAAGAAAGAACTGTCCTTGAGAGTTCATGCTAGTGAATCAGTCCTACCTGTCCAGGGTGGAACTGCCACTGGAGTACTCTTTTGATGAAGACCGACTACTATAAAAGGATGATGACTGCAGCGGTAAAAGACCTTGAAAGACACAGAGGCAGGTCATTTTGTTAATGGCAACTCAGCTATTTATGTAACTAATTTAAAATTATTTAGTGAAAAGGTTGTAAAATCCTCAAATACTGTTTTACAGAATTGGTTGGGAAAGTACTAAACACACATACTTAGTCAATATTAATCATATGTAATTAAAGACATGCTGGAGTTTTACTTGAATTTAGTATCATAATCATCAAATCCAAATTGCAATATGAAACATTAAAGAGTCACTGAATGGTCTAAAGTATCTGAAAGATAACATCAACCTCTTGCTCTGATACACAAGATACATGTAACAGAAAACTCACTAATGATTTCCAATACCACGCTCTCAAAATTAAAGGTAAATATGCAGAAGTGGAAACAGTTTCTCTTCCCATTCCAAATTCCACAGTAAATTAGTCCATGCTTGAGGCAATGTATGATTGTTTCATTGTCCTGATATCACTGTGTCAGATCCTGAGACCCTAATGCCACATTAAAAGTTCTCAAGAGCCAAAACCCCACTTCTTACAGTGAATCACAGTGTAATTTAGTTTAAGAATAAGAATCTGCTTCTATCTCAGCTTGAAGTGGTTTGAAGCATGCAACTTTCAAAAATGCAGACATATGAAGTAAGTTCACAACCCTGCTGCCTGACATTGCAGGTATATACTTATAAATTCTACTTTTGACCCCAAGGAGCAACTAAAATTTTCAGATATAAACATTCACGTTACTGGCTCCTTCAGCAACATATTTGCACCATCATAGCTGCACTAGAAGAAGAATGCATTCGGCAACATTTTCATAAGAACAGTATCTTGAATGAATTCCCCTTTATGGGGAAAGAGGCTCAGTATCTACTAGCAGAAATGAAGAACGGTGCCACTTACTAGCTTATATACATACTGTCAATATTTCTGTATTGTCTATAAAACCTTGTCACACACCAGTATCCAAAAGAACTTTGGTACAAACAGCATGAAAGTCCTAGCCCTAAATACTTTCCCCTCTAAGTTCTCTAAGGGGAAGAGACAGGGAAGTAACAGCAAGCGGTACACATTTTGAGCACAAAAACCCCCAGCCTACAATTCATGCAGGCATTACCAGCAAAGGAGAGCTTTAAAAATAAACACAAAAGCAACCAAAAAGGAAATCCTGAGGCGTTTACAGGAATCCCCTCCCAAGGGGAAGGGCAGCTTGGAGCAAAGTTTGAAGCTGCTTGTTGAATTTTTAAACAAGCTGGCACATGGGCTGGCATCAGCACCCAAGTATAAAAGTCAGGGTCACACTAGAGCAAGATAGGCTTCAAAAACAAAGGCAAGTTGTTTGCATCTCATATGTAGCTCTATAGAAAGCAAGAAAGTTAATGGCACAGGGAAAGCAGACTAGGATAACCACCCCAGGAGCAACTCTCTAAACTGATACCAAAGTGTTAAAATCAAACTGGTCAAAGCCAGGTATCATTTGGCTTTACTTTTTATTTTTTTACCTGATGTCCTATTTTCCTCTGCCTGCTTCAGATTTAACTGTTTCTCTCTGCTACTGTTCAAGTACTTCCATGCTGGATCACTCAAGGCTTTATTATTCCTATGGAAAAACAAGAGTGAAAGTCGGTGCAGTTATAAAAGATACAGGATATTCCTGCTTGATATTTACAATTTGTTTAAAGCATTTCTCTCCTATCACCTTTAATACTTGACTATGGAAGGGTCGAACTTTACTTGCAGATCAGTTTAACCAATTTGTTTAAACAAGCCTTCTCAGTTATGCTTAAATGTGATTTCAGCCAGAGGGAGCTTATTCTCCAAATGGCAATTTCTTCTTTATGAATTTTGTTTTGAAAAGGGTTCAAATTTTTTTTTTAACTTCTTTTGAAAAAGAAGTTCAATAAAGATGGTAACTATTGCCATACATGTATAGCACATATGATAATCCTGACTAGACTGAGAGAAGAAAGATAACAGAATTTGCACGTGACAGTTCCCGCAAGTCAACTGCAGGAGCAGGTTCTATTTCCCTCATTAATCCTGAGCGTAAACCCCATTTCAAGCACCCAGTATCTTCACAAGTTCACCAGAGGTTGGCTCGTGCCACGTTGCTGAGACTGGAAATACCCAAGCATTCCCTTCAGAAAAAATTACCTTTGCAAAATGAATGAAGACTTTAAAATCAGGAACTAGAAACTACGGTTACTTACGTTGAAGAATCATTCTCTTTGGGATAATCTTCACTCATTTCTGAACCAGGAGGTTGTGTTCTTTTCCTCTTTTCACTGATAACAGAAAATTTTTGAAGCGGTCATTCTTTCAGAAAGGCTAGTAAGTGACCCTCTTCCAACTGAACAGAAGTCAGTGCTTTCCATGCATTTTGCACCTATCTTCCACAAACTCCACTTTTATAACATAGCATACAGAAAACAATTTGGTTTGTCCAACTCTTAAGCTGCTCATAAAGCTCTAGTGCCAGTACCAGCCAGATGCTAGAAAAGCACATATTAACATCCTGCTATAGGTAACAGCAAAACCAGAGGAAGAAACATATTCCTTCTTACTTCTAGGTGTACCAAGTTCCACCTGCAGCTCTACAAAGAGCTAAAGTATCATATATCATAGTAAGAGGATAACACTCCTACCGATTCTCCAACAAGCCCGTTCTGTGGGGGACTGTGGACGCAGGAGATGCTGAGATGTTCACCCTGTTGCTAGGTGTTCCGGTTCCAGAGGGATTCTTAACGGACGCTCTCGGTGGGGTACCCAGCACCTTGCGCAACGCGTTTTCCTCCTTACTTTCCACAGCCACTCTTTTGGGAGGAGTCTACAAAACCCAAGTGGAGGGGGCAGGGATAGAACCGAAACAGTGAAAAACATAGAAACACAGAATCAGTTTGGTTGGAAACGACCTTTAAGATCATCAAGTCCCACCTCTACCGCAGTCCACCACTAAACCATGTCACTAAGGTCCTCATCTAGCCTGTTTTTGAACACTCCCACGGACGGCAATTCCACCGCTTCCCTTGGAAGCCTGTTTGAGCTAACATTTACATCACTGCTTTACTTGCTACAGTGTAGCATCCAAAACCAGAAAAATGTTACTTGTAATAGATCAGGAGAGTTTAACACCGATTAGACATAGGTAAAACTTTGATTATACGGACAGAAGGCATAAACATGAAACTCTACTGCAGTCACCAACTTCCCTTATCATTTTCCAACACTAAGTTAAACTTCAGTTTTTAAATATCTCCTTCACGTGCTTTGACATTAAAAATCTCAAGGCATGATTTCTATCCCCAGATCAAACCTAGGGAGTGGATATTAAAAAAAAGCCATATTAAAACCCACACCATTACAACAATACCCTAACAGCCTTGGGCAAGCAAGTGCCACATGTAACACAATGGAAAGAGCCAAGCTGACTTAGGAATGTTGATCAATTTTAGACTTGAAATCTAAACACGTTTAATCTTACCAATGTACACAGAGCCCTGGAGCTTTTCCTGTGATACTGCCTTTAAGCAACATGCAAAATTTGTTTTGGGACAACATAAAAAATATCCTCCCTCAGGGTGGTAATACAGGTATATTCACAAAGTAAATTAAAGCTGGTAGGTACATCATGAAATCTGCATTATGCAGGGAGAAAAGGAAGAATAACATTTTGAAGGAAAAACACTTAAGGGGGAAAATCTGCAAAATTTACACAAAAACACTGAGTAGAACTCTACAAATTCAGTGACTTTATTCTGATGCAAAAGCAGGTCAGCGGCTTTTATATATATATATGCATATGTATATATATATTTGGCTGAAGTCTGCTAAACTCAGCAAGACCTATGCTGACTGTAACATGTTCAGCTGCTATGTATTCAGTATGAACAGAGATATTCACAACTATGTGAGAAGTCTTAATCCCCTATTTTCCCCTCTACTTTTGCTGCTTCACTGCCTGAGTTATAGCTCAGCATGAAAAACACATTCTGTCTTCCACAGCCAGACACTGACCTTTCTTGTTTATACAGAATATATGACTCCTCATGAGCAAGAGGGAGTGTTGCCAAGCACCTTGTATACATCTATTCCAAGCCCTCTAGATTACAAAGACTCTGGATGCAAATAAGTATTTACAGTGCTATTACAGCATACATTAAGAGAATGAGAGAAGGAAATGAATGAAACAAAATTAGAGGAGAGGAAAAATTTGAACAATTAAACAAACCTGGTTCTCTATGTAAGAGAATTGCCTATTAACTTCCTTCTGTGTGGTCCTGCTGCCCAGCACACCTCCAAAGCTGCCAGATCCCTGAGAGGGTTTTCCAACTGACAGGAAAAGTACACAACATTTTATTTGTCTGTCATTTAACCAACTGACATTCTTATTTGTAAGATGCTATTTAGCTGGAGCCGATTTTAGAAGGGACACGCTAGATTTCCTGCCAACAGACAGTACAATATTCTGAGGGCACAGATATAAGCACATGTTTATGGGTATCCCTTGTATTGCTCATTTACTCAGTTGGCAGTAAAGATCCTATCCTTAAAAAGGACAAAATAAGAGGTAAAATAAAAAGGAAAGAGACTCTGCATGTGTGAAAAACAGACACGAGTGTTTGAAATACCGACTACAACGTAAGCAATACCTACATGTTAATCTCTGCTTATTGTTCAGCAAGATAAGAGGTATATGATAAGAAAGGTATGCAACAAAAATTGGGGTTCAGGGCCAGAAAGAAGCACTTACACAAAGAAAATCAGTAACACACGGACAAAATGGCTAAAGATACATGAAAAGGAAACACAGCACTGACCCCTTTCCAAACTGTGACTAACTTGATTTACAACAATTGCACTTACCAGTATGAAACCTGTCTTGATGGACTGCATCCAAATACATCCGCATTTCATTTGCATCTTTAAATGGTACCTTATCAATTGTCAAGAAGCTGGTATCCTTTAGTGTTAGCATTAGGCAGCACAGCTTTCTACCATTTGGGCGTAGTGTCACAGTTTTAATGTTATGGCTTAGCTGAAAATAAGAAGGTGACTATAAACATAAATCCATGTTTAAAAGGCCCAAATACTTAAAAATTCAAACAAACCACTTCAAACAGAGAGGCATTTGCATAGAAATACTTCTCATTGCTCCATTTCAAGCAAACATGAAGCCTCACAGAATTGATGCAACTGGTGGTCTTGGAAGCTGATAGCATCCCTACAGATCAACAGTCCCTATAATAATAAACTTTCTGAAACTCGGTTTGCTATTGAGTGTGACATTTTTGAACGTAAAGAATAAGAGTTTCACACAGTCCCATCTACCTGTCTGAAACTTCCAAGTAAAATTTGAAATATAATTTAGGATGTTTTAAATGCTAGCTACAAACTTCTACTCAGTTTATAATTAGCAGATTTGACATAGCATAAAAAAATTTGCTGAGGGAGTAAGTTAATAAAAAGCGTGCTTAGTCTACATGCAACGTTATAACAATTAAGTGGTGTCAAAACTTTCAGGGTTATGGTCAAGCACAAAATAATTTTAATAAGAATCTGTGCTCCCTAATAATGCCACTGCTACTTTATTATACCATTACTTAACTGTTACTACATGCTAGGTCACCTATAAGAACTGTCTGTAAAGTCTCCACTATCTGAGGAGGTTGAGGGTAACTCCTAAAGCAGAGGAAGCAAAAGAATCCCTCACATCTGCAGACTGCATGGAAGTTTGACAATACACACCTAAACACACTCTCATTTTCAATTACCTCCTCCCTTTTTGCTTAATTCTTCATTTTAGCCTTGCCTAAGATCAGGCGCGACCTATACAATGACATCCACACCAGGATATTGCTGTACTCAATGTTTCATATAAGATCAGAAACCATGGCCAAGGTCATTAGGCATGACACAAGACAGAGTAAAACACCGCCCATCAGATTGGAGCCACCTCCTAATTTGGCCTGACCTGCATACTGCCACATCACTGAGCTAAACTACAATGAGGAATTAATAGACATGAACAGTAATTACACCCTAACACTAAAGTTTCACTATACATTGCTCTAGAACCTGCCTTGTTGCCTTGAAACTATACACAAGTTTAAAAATAAAATTTATTCCCAACTTTTACTTAAATTTGTTCAGGTATATAGAAGACTGAGATAGAAAATGGCACTCCATGTCCCCCAGTGAGATTTCTTCAGTGCAGATTTCTAACTTCTTCGAAAGTCAATCTAGACACAACAGCACTTTATCAGAGGCTGGAAAAGCAGCTTAGTTGGAAACCCAGGGTTGTTTTACTGGGAAAACTAAACTTATGAAACACTTAATGCTCAATCCTTGTTTTGCTGTTGGGGTTTTGTTTGCTTGATTTTGGGAGGTTTGGGTATTTTGGGTTTTGTTTTCCTTTTTTTTTTTTTTGTAAACTATAAGCTAAAAAATGTTTTCAAAGACAGAAGAATTTAAAAGGGGACTCCAAATTTTTCTCCCTCTCTTAAAACATTAAGCTTGGTGCAAAGGGATAAAGTTACTTTACCATCTCAGGGCAAAACAACCTTTTTCAACTCAAAACGCTGTAATGACAGGGTTCCATTCATACTCTCCACCCACCTGGTATGACCCTGTCAGCGTCACAAAGTCTTGGAAGGAGGGAGTAAATATTTCTCTTAATACATATCTAGCATCTAGGACAACTTAGTCAGAGCTTTAAAACATCAGTAAAACATATCATTTGACATAAGAAATCTGATGACACACCAGTCACTGTAGAAAGAAATTTAACCTTGGATCCATCCAAATGTATCACAGAGAAGTGAAAACAGGTGGAGAAATCACCTACAGTTTTCCCAGAGCAACTTGTCAAAGAAAGGGAATGCTGCTTTTAAAGCAAAACTATCAGGGACTTGTGATGCCTGAGGCAGCACAAGCAAGAGCACTGTGAGACTGGGGCTGGCTCACCCAAACCGCACTCAAGCACAAGCCTGAAGCACAAAGGGCAGGCAGCTCTCCCTGCCGGCTGCTCATCTCACCAACACTCTTGTGCCACTGTCTGTGTTGCTTTAAGATGAACAGGTCCAGAAAACAGATCCTGCTGAAAAATAACCACCATCCAAACAAAAATATTTGGTCTAAAGATGCGGCATTTCCTCCTCCTCTGCTGCAGTCCTAGCTGCATAGCACCATATCACTCCCTACACCAGATCTCATACTTGGTTCTTTCCCTGAATTAATTCACATGAGAACCCTCCACTGAGCTCACAGAGAGACCTGATGAGTGGCATAGCCAGCAGATGCAAGAGACTGGAAGCAAAGCCTGCCCCTTTAGGCCGTGGTTAGCTGTTCTGTAGGCTCATCCCCTCCATGGAATCACCCTTCAAGTCACTGTCACACCACATTAATGTTCATTCAGAAAGAGAGCAGTGCATGAGAATAAGCACCCCATAAAGGTAAGAGACCTCTGAGACTCTTCTCAGAAGCAACATGGTCCAACACTGGATTAAATCAAACATGAAGTCACAGCATCGTGTCTCAGAAGGCAGATGACTGAAGTCAACAGTAAGAGGAAGGAACTATACACAGCTAATGATTTTCTCACCCCTTGATCTGAAGGCAACTCATGTTCTTTGCTACGACATTTCAGCACACAAAGGTAGCAAAACCTGATCTTTCAAAAATAAAGTGAACTTTTCTTTTACCAAGTCCACACACAGAAACAAAAAGCTCAGGGAACGGTCTGGGGAACACCACTCAGGAAGAACTGCAGCAGGAAAAAGCAAAAGCCAACACTTGGATTAGTTTAGGCTGTTACAAAGCTGCTAAATAAAATTGGATTTTTTTCTTTCTAACTGCTTTTATATCCTCTAAATATTTTTATATCAGCTAGAAATTTCTTACAGAAAAACACTCCTTTACATTCTTTTGATTTGGGGCACTTCAGATAAAGGAAGACTGAGCAGAAACCAAGGACAGAATGAAAGAAAAAATAAGACAATTTAGGTTGAATATTGCATAAAAATCTTTAACAGTGATCCTCATCAGTCCCCCAGTGAGGGAACCCCACTGCCTGGAATATTTAAAAACTAAAACTGTAACAACTGGTGTGGAGCCGTCTTGTTTAAACAATTGGAAGGCTACAAGTGTGCTAGCACCCTTACTCTTCAGGTGGGAAAATTGCTAATACAAAGTGTCCACGATCTGCACCTCTACATTCTTCACATGAATTGGTAACAGAAAGGTTACATGAGCCACAAGGCTACATATGTACTTTGGTAACTTTCCTCTGCTTTTTGGTTCTTCCCACTCACTGGCATCTGGATGCCGACCTTGGCAGATCCTTTAACAATACACGTGAATAATTTACAGGAGAGTTATACAAAGGGATTAGTGTTCAGGAAATGAGGAACAAGAAACAGTGACAGAAGGAAGCTTTCGTGACACTTAATAGCCTTGAAGAGGACAGCTGTTCACAAAGGAGCACAATCCATGCACTGCTCAAACAAAAGCCTTAATATCTGGTGTACCTGAAACGTCTTTGGACTCCCTCCAACACTGTAGTGAACCACCAGACTCACTTTGTTGTCCTTCTCCACAATTTCAAAGCTCCCTTCTTTCCATTTTGTAATCCCAGTCTGCATGCTGCGCATCCGGACAGGTCCGTGCACCTTTAGCAGAGCCATGCTTTCTCACGGAAAAGAGCTAACAGGAGTGAGCTACTCCACCTTAAAGACCTATTCAGAAGGAGAAGTTTATAACTAAGCAGGCCAGATAACCTCTGCAGGAAGATATAAGTGTGGCTTAAGTTTCTGTTGAAGTTCGGGTGAACTGTTTTGCTGGTGTTTGTAAACACAATGAAGGGGAGTTAGACAGAAGCAAAGGAAACTTGGATTAATCAATTCCCTCCCCACCTGGGCAGCAACGAGCCGATTTACCACTGCTAGAAAGCAAACAGACCGAACCCTTGAAGCATCTTCAACAGAACTTAAGGAAAGGAAAAAAGTGACCGAGAGAGTCTGTAAGAGACGGAAAGTTTCGGGGAAGCCCGAGAGAGAAAGCGCGCTCGCTTCTGTCGTGACATGAGGGTGGGCCCGGTCGAGGCTCCCTGGGGCTCTCCTGCGCTGCCGCCCTCCCCGGCGCTCCCCCGCGCGTTCCGAGGAGCAGCCCCCGCTCCCGATCAGCACGGCAGGGCGTGTTTTAAAGTCAAACAGGAATAACTGAATGAAGCGGCCCCCGCGCGCCACCGCCGAGGGTCTGTCCCCCACTACTCCCCGGCAGCCCGAGTTCAGGCGCCGCTGCCGCTACCAGCCCGGCCCCGCTGCCCTCGGTCAGAACCCCGCGCACGGGCACGGGGTGGTGGCGAGGGCAGCGCCTCCCGTCCGTCCCATCGCTCCATGGCCGCGCGGGCCGCGCCGCGAAGGGGCGGGGGGGGAAGGCACGCTGCCGCCGCGGGGGGTGAAGGGGGAACGGGAAGGGGGGGGCCGAGCCCCGGTACCTGCGTCCCGGCGCCGCTGGGTCTGGGCCGTGGGGGGGAGGGGGAAGGGGGGGGAACGGCGGCGGATGGCGGGAACTGGCCAGCAGCGCCAAAACGCCGCGCGACGCACACTCGCGCGCGCCTGCTCACGTCACCGCGGCGGTGACGCCCTTCCCGGCGCACCCCGCGACAGCCGGCCCGGCAGCCAGCTGCGCATGCGCCGGAGAGGCCCGCTTGGGTTTCTCCCGCCGGCACCGCACAGCGTCGTCCGGGTGGTGTTCTGGCGCATGCGTGCGGCGTTCTCTATTCGCCCCGTCCCAGCGTCCGTTGCGGCGGGGTGAGGGGTCGTGGTGGGCCTAGGCCTATGGCGGTGGCCTCCTGAGCCGGGCCCGGCGGCACATCGGCAGCGCACCCACCATGCACAGCTTGGCTACGGCCGCGGTGAGGCGGGGCTGGGGTGGTGGAGTGGTGGGGCCCTGTGCGCGGGCGGCCGGGGCGGCGGGTCCCTGCCGTAGCGGGAGGCGCTGAGTGCGCGCGCGTTTGTGCTGCAGCCGCTTTTCTGGGGTCCTCCGCGGCTTCCTGAGCCGGCTGTGCCTTGCTGTGCTGCTCATGGGGATGAGGGAGTTCGGTCAGCGGCCAGGAGGGCATCTCTGGCAGGTGTCCCGGCTGTGCACCTCCCGCCGGGTCTGCGTCACGTCGGGGTTTGTGTCTGTCCCTCCTTGTGCTTGGACGCTGTCTGCCCCTCCCGAGCCCCTGCTCTGTCCTTTGGGAGCTGTTTTGGTTTTTCTGTGGGTGAAAAGAGGAGATAGCGAGAAGTTCCTCAGGGAAGCAGCAAGGGGGACGAAAGGTAGAGGCTGCTCGTTCCTACTCCCCCTTTTCCCCAATACCTTGCAGTGCTGACAGTCACTTTGGCCTGGCTGGGCTCAGAAACGGAAGCTGAGTTTAAACGATGTGGTTATTGCATCTTATTTCCCGTTTGAGGAGGCTGGTGGTTTTCTTTTCACTTCTCCAAGTGCCCGTTCGTTGTGTGTGTAAGAATTGCAAGGGTTGATTGAGTCTCTGGTGCATATTGGGTTTGGGAGGTGTAAGACCAGCAGTTAGAGCTCTTTTCAGGTTAATTTAGCTGAAGGTTCTGCATGGACTAACAAGCAAACAGTATTGAGCAAAGTACTTGCAAGCAGGACTTGAGAGGACTTTTTAAGTCTTCCCACTTTGTTTGGGTGCTTATGACTTGAAAGCTGGCAAAGGCTTCTGATTTAAAGTGACAATTTCCAGAGCATAGTGAGGTGTGTGAGATCACAGTGAGCTCTCTCAATCAGCATTTACATTTTCATAGTCATATAGCTCCTAAGCACTTGTCAAAATGTGTGACTCACTCTTGTATCTCCCACTAATCATCTGTGTCCTAGTCATCTCTCTATAAAAGGATATTTCTTTGTTAAGACCATTTTAACAACTTACTTCAGGAATAGAAATCAAATTTAATTTGGACTCCTCTGAATGTATATTTAATTTATGCATAATTTATGCCACGTGGTAGTTCTGTATTGAAATGTTTCCTACCTCAGTTGGTTGGTATGCTTAGACTAAAAGTGATAGGGAAGGGTCTTTGGCTCTGGAGATGTGCTTAGGAGCTGCGGTGAATAACATTGCCTCTTAGGAGAGTCATGAATTGGCTCAGGAATTCTTTTGAGTGATCTCTGTCATGCTAAAGCTGTGTAAGCCACAGCATTGGTGAAGCTGGTGGCAGAGCTGACACTTCGATTCCAACGCAGAAGACTGTGTAATACGCTAGAGGCTTGAAAACAGGCTCAAAGCAATAAATGCAGCTGTAACTAGCAGTAAGAGTTTGAAAGCCCAACTCAAATCAGCTAATTCACAGCTATTGGAGTTCAAAGTTCATTTTGGTGGTTTTGAGTTGGTGACCTATCAAAAAACTTTAAAAATAACATGTATCAAGTTAATCAACATTCTGCTTTGTTTGACCTGTACTTTTACCAGTGTGCCTTGCACCAACTGCTCAATTAGGAAAAGAAAGCCAGTTGCCTAAATCCAGTTCATTATGTAGTTGTTGGAGGTGCAGTTGGGCTTGGCTGTTGGAGGTCATGCTCTTTCTCCTGAGGAGGGCCTTTCCTGATGCAGAGGTGGCCAGTTTGTGCTGTGTTGAGACACTCTTGGGAACTTTTGCCTTGCCTGAATGCAAAACAGAATCTGCTTGGCAGGGTTCTGTCTCGGAGTTTGCAGGATTTGTATGTAAACCTTGGGGCTCTCCTGAATTTTGGGTTTCAGAAGGAGAAAGGGGAACAGCAATAAAGTAGCAAATCAGGAAAAAAGAAAAGTCTTTCAATTTAAACTGAGATGAACAGCTGTAGAACCTGTGAAAGATAGTTGGTTCTGGCTAAGGCAGATATTGGGCATCATAAACTTAATTGTGTGGAAAATCTACTTAGTTCTCTTTAGGGGAGCATAAGCACATGATTGTGCTTTTAAAGGGTCGATGTATTTAAGCTTACAGGAACTGAAACTTCAGTGAGTCTAGAAAAATAGATGGAAGCTTTAGATAACACAGTTATAACAACATTATTGCTGCACTGCTTGTCACTACCATCCGAAATAAAAACAAATGAGCTCTGTTCATTCTCCCTCTCTTTCTGAGCTACAGTGTCAGCGTTGCCATTGAATTGCATTCCCAGCTGTAACTGCAGTGCATTTGTCAGGATTACTAATTTAGTGTGAGGTCCTGCGAAAAAAATACAAATAAAAATGAGTAGACAAGAGGAGAAAAAGAGAACAAGAGGAAAGATGAAGAGCTATAAAGATACTTGAGTCCTTGAGTATAGGAATTGGTAACAGTGCATTCGCTTATGTATAGGCATTTAAGTTAACGGGGTGTAAGTAGGTAGAAGAGAGAGAAATCCCACAGCTGGGGAAGCCTCTCTTTGGATATGGCTATGGATGCAATATGTGGATTAATGGAGGAGGAAAACCTTTGCAGAAATAGAAAGAAAAAGCTCTAGAGGTGTCTGCCAAAAGTCAAGATCTCTTCCTTCACCCCTCCTGCAGCTCTGTGTGCCTGCCTCTGCCATATGGCTTCAGATTTGGTTCCAGCCACTTCCAATTCCTGAACTCCTTTATATTCAGTGCCTGGGTGATGAGCTGCTTAATAGCAGTGTTGCTGTCAGTGCGATCAGGCACTGCTCACATGTGTTGTGGACAGCACAATTAGAGTTTCAGCCTGGGTTTGATATAAAACCAAAAGCTGTCCATTTGCTGTTCCCAGACATGACTGCTGTACACAGCTGTGGGGATGCTGAGCTGGCTGTGTGCTAGCAAGCCTGGGAGCAGCAGTGTACAGACAGGGCTGCACTTTACTTGAGTAGTAAATACCACAGCAGAATGTTTGAATAGATTTTAAGCTGGCTTTTGGAAGTGTTTGCACAGGAGGTTTTCTAATGCTGATGTTTGCCTTCCTCTAATTTTTGTACCTCAATCACCAAGCTGTTTACTTATGAAGCCTGCTGAGCATTTGTTTGCACCTTGAGTGCTTGTTGTGCCAGTAGAGCCATGAGGCAAATTTCACCGAAAGCCTTGTGCCTTTCCACAGAAACTAAGCTACAATCCCACAGTCCCTGTTTCTTTTCCTTTCTTTCCCAGCCCTCCCTCATTTTTTTTGCTTGAAAGCTTGTTGGCCTTGGTGCTGTTCTTTCCCTGGTGCTCCAAGAAAGGCAGAAGAGAAATCCTTTATTTCACTCAAGTAGTAGAAAATGTGCCTTGACTGTGAATACAGGTCTGCCCTTCACTGGGTATATCTTGAACAGGAATTTTTGCACAGGATCAGCTTTGGAAAAATCCCTCTTACCTCCATGCATGTAAACAAGATACATGGGGTGAATATGAGACATCTCTGGCAGCAGGTGTCGCTGGCTGTGAGCAGTGTCATGCTGATGTTGGAGAACTGATGGTTTTTATAGTGCTTGTATGAATGTTTTTCTCACATATGTTGGGTGAATCCCATTGACAATTTCTAATGCCATGGATGCTTTTTGAGAGAAAAAGTAGCATCTGCCTTACTTTGAATTTGTGTAAGCGTGCACTTGAAACATGAAATGAGTGTGTGTTAAATGCAGGTGAAGCAAATGATAGCTGGCTGAGGTATGTGAAGTATGTGTGACCTCCCCAAGAGCTCTGCTGGCACAGACAGGCAGCAGCATGACTCTCTTACATTGCTGAATGAAGTTACAAGGTACTACCTGACAAGTAGATTAAGAGAAACTGTCACAATGAGCCAGGCCAGAAAGTAAAACCTTTGTTTCCAATAGGAGAAATAATAAGACTAATTGAAGGAATGGATCTATATACAGAGCATCTTAATGCAGCTTTAGTTCCTTCCTCTCCCAGTCAAGAGAGTTTTGAGCCTTTTTTTGTTTATTTGCCAGGTTGTGAGAAGAGTTCAGCTGAGACTTGGGTAAAATGTTTGGACTGATGTTTTCTTGTCTCCTTCGCAGCCTGTGCCAACGGCGCTAGCTCAGGTTGACCGTGAGAAGATTTACCAGTGGATCAATGAGCTTTCCAGCCCAGAGACACGGGAGAATGCACTGCTGGAGCTGAGCAAGAAGCGTGAGTCTGTGCCTGACCTTGCCCCGATGCTGTGGCACTCCTTTGGCACCATCGCAGCGCTCCTTCAGGTGGGTAGGATTGATGGTGTCTTTATTCCCTGGTGCAGCACTGGCACATTGCAGAGCTTGCGCGTCCATAGGGGAGGCACTTGGGGGGTCCCTTATTGCCATTGCTGGGAGAATGATGTATGTTGAATCGTGTGGTGAGGTAGCAGACGCAAGAAGCCCATTTGCCATTAATCATCACTAGTGAGACAACGTGTGCAGAGACTGCATGATTTCTAGTTAGACAGCTTAAATAGTTGGAAGGGGAACAGGCAAGTTCTTGGGTGTATGAGCTTCCTGTGGACCATGTTCTGCTCATTTTCATACCATGTCATAGTAGAACCACAACAGTCTTACTAAGATCTCTGAGTTGGTTTGTTCTGCATGAGCCTGAGCACTTCCTGGTCAGAAGGTTGCCCTCTCAGGGAGCTTGCTGGAAGGGCAGCAAGGGAATGCAGCTCACTGTCCCAGAGATCCTTGCAAGGGAATGTACCTGCATTCCATATGAAACTGAATGGCTCAGCTTGTCTTTGGGCAAACTGCTCTGCAGCTGATGACTGGCTGTCTCTCAGTGCCAATCTAGTAATTTCTTTCAAAGAAGGAAAGAAAAAGAGTGCAGCATTGGCAATGTCAAACTGCTCTCGGAGTGCCCCTGAAACAAGTGAAGAAAATTAGAAGGGAGCTATAGTTGGAAGCAGGCAGATTTCTGAATTGGATTTCTTGCAATCAGCTGCTTCTCCTGCATTGAGTTAGAAGAGTATCAACAGCTATAATATGAATAGAGTGGGTGTGCTCTGCCTCTTGGCCCAGGAGCAATATTCCTCTTCGATCTGGAAGTTCAAAACAAAGCGGTTCCTACACAAGTAAAGAGCCAGGAAATCAAATGAACCCTATTTTGCTGAAATTAAGGTTTAACAGCATTCCTGTGACTCCTTGTCAAATTGACTCTGACCCAGCTCTGCCCTTGCCTGGGGAGCGTGGTAGCTGCCATGTAACTTCAAAGTGATGCGTGGTAAAAGCAGACTATTATCTCCTGTCACCATAGCTCCTTGCTGGGCAAGTGCTTTGATGCAGCTTTCTGATGTTTTTCTGCTGTAACTTTTCTTCATCTGTTAATTTTTAGGAAATTGTAAATATTTATCCATCAATCAACCCTCCGACTCTGACAGCTCATCAGTCCAACAGAGTCTGCAATGCTTTAGCTCTGCTGCAGTGTGTTGCATCACATCCTGAAACAAGGTAAATGTTTCCAAGTGCATGAGTTTTCTGAGGTGTTGATGCTGACAGCTCAGCCTGTCTGACTGACTCCAAAAGCACGTCGGCTCTTTTCTCCTTTTTTACCAGAAGGATGACAGGGGACAGAGCTAAAAGATAGGTAGTTGTCTCCTACTTTCACTTGTTTGCACAGATTATCAGGATGACAGCTTTATGCTGGTCCTAAATGCATTGCATTCCCTGGATAGTCCTGAGATCCTGAAATTCCCAAAATATTGGGTTGTGGCAGATCCTGGGAGCTCATCCAGAGATAAGGATGCCTTTGTGCCAAGTGCTGTTTGCAAGATCCTTGTTTTAATAAGTTTACAGTTACCTAGACCATCTGTCCAGAGTGTTGAATGAGCAGGAGTGTCTTTCCCAGAGACCTTGTGTAGTAAGGGAGCAATAGCAGAGACATGTCTGGAGTCCTCAGCCAGTGCCTGACTTCAGGTTTTCTTAATCTGTGTCCAGCCTGTGTCAGCAGGGAAAAAGTGATACTGGTTCAGAGATCCATGTTCTCATGCTTCTGTTCCTGCTGAGAAGAAAGTGCTGCGTAGCTGAAGTTGTTTTTCAGCTGCTGCAAAGTAGTTTTGAATAACAACCTTCCATGAGATGGTATCCAAGAAGTAGGGTAGTTTTACACCACACACCTTTACATTTAAAGTTTGAAAAATGAAAACGGATGAAGAATGTTGGATGATTGTGAAAGAAAGGCTGCCTCTGGTAGCAAAGCAAGCTCCAGGTTTCGCCCATAGTCAGAAGGCAGTATGAGGACTCTTGGGGAAAGATGGCTGTGGACATTTAAACTGTGTTAGTGCCTAGGTATCAGCTAGCCTGGATCTCTGCCATGTAAAGGCTTTGCGCATGCATTGTGGCTGACTGTCTCTGCTCATGGGAGCCAGTAAGGTGAAATGCGACAGTAAATGTACAAAGCTGAGGGTCTGGGTGGCAAGAGGAGGTAATAAAAATGACAGGATGTGCTCTGTTCCTGGTCAGCTGGAAGCAGTGTTGCATATAATTGACAGTTTAGATGTTAGGTTTTGTGCTGCACCCAGTGCAGAGTTTACTTCATACCTTTCCATCAGAGAGCAGCCTGTTACAACAGCAGCAATAGGGTTTGTCAGGAATAGTCTGAGGCTCTGTTAGCTCACTTTGTTTTCCTTGTGTCTCATGTTGGGTGTTCTCCCTTTCTAACAGGTCAGCTTTTCTGGCAGCTCATATCCCTCTCTTCCTGTACCCCTTTCTACACACAGTGAGCAAGACGCGTCCATTTGAGTACCTGCGGCTCACGAGCCTTGGAGTGATTGGTAAGCAGCCAGACTAGTGCTGGAGCACTAGTTTCTTACTAGGTTGGATGCAGTTCAGGCTGCGGGTATGGAGATCTGCGTAGGTCTGTCTCTGTTGGGATTCTCCGAGTCATGTAGCATTAACAGAAAGACCTGCTCCTTTCTCATCAGTTGTGGAGACACAGAAAGGTTCCTTTTTCTGTGTCGGAGCTGGGCTTCTCACTAGTAGGGAAACACTGGTCTGGATGCATTGCCAGAAATATGTTCGCTGTGAATACATGCACCTGCAGGCTTCTTGTGCCTTCACCCTCAGCCCAGCCAGCTAGAGACTGGAATGGGTGGGCACAGAGTGGGCTTTCTTTGGGTATTTGTTGTTGATTGATTTGGGTGTATTTGGCCTGTCTTCCCCTTATTGTGTTGTTTGTTGTTGGGTTTTTTCCTTTCTGCCCAAAACATCTATCTCTCAGTGCATAAAGTAAGAGGGTCTTAAAATCCATTTCTTCTTCCCAGAGATTGCTGTGGGTGGCGTGATCCTCTTGTGTTTGTGTCACCACTGGGGGACAGCCAAGGATGCTTTCTGAAAAACAAACAACCCCTAAACTCAGCTTGATTACTTTTACACTGCCAAAGTGATTTCTTCTCCGGCCACGTGCTACAACACATTTAGGCTGACTGTTGTTCAGCCTGCTATTCAGATTTACTGATTCCTGGGGAAGACACAGCATAGGCTGCCTTTGAAAGGTGAGATTTTTTTGAAACAATTTCTCATTTATTGATTTTGGGGTTTGTTTTTCTCTCCAGGGGCCTTGGTGAAAACTGATGAACAAGAAGTGATAAATTTCTTACTGACAACAGAAATTATCCCCCTGTGCTTGCGCATTATGGAATCTGGCAGTGAACTCTCCAAAACGGTACTTGTTTTTTGTGTTAATTAAGACTTGTTGTTGTTTATCTCCAACTGACCAGGCAGCCAGTAGCCTGCAGAGTTGGCTTGTGTCCTCTTGCAAATGTTGGGGCAACTCTGGGTACTGTTTTTACCTTCTCAAAAAAAACAAACCAAAATGACCAAACTAAACTGGAGTTCCTGAGCTCAGTAGTTTGGCTGGGAAGCATTTGGCAGCTTTCAACATCCATTCCCTCCTTTGCAGCTCTGAGGAGTAACTGTTAGGGGTGACTGGACCAACTTTCCTTGGCCTGAGAGAACAAATGCTGTAGATGTACAGTGCAGAGGTTGGGTGGCAGCTGTTAGTGGCAGTTATGGGAATATTCACTGCACTGGGCCAGGTTGTTGTCTCCTCTGATCCAGGGCTGCTTTTCCTCATGAGTTCAGATCTGTGGTTAGGCTGCTCCAATGACCCAAATAGGCTGGCCAAAGGTTTTAGCCTTGTGTGCGCTTCTCTGATGAAGCCTGCAGACATGGCTGCCTGAGGTTCTTCCAGGAAGGTATGTGTCTCATGATGAATCAGTAATGCTTAAAATGAGAACTGAAATAAGCTTGCAGGGCCAAGGGGCAGATCCTTCTGCTTCTTGCTCTGTGACCAGAGTAGTGTGGCTGTAATCCCAAGGCTGTCCTGAGCAGCCTGGTAGTGGTTGCTGACTTACGCAACCTATATCCAGTTGTCTTGTACACGCTGCTTTGTATCTGTCTCTTCTTTAGCCAGAGATGCCAAACATTGTGCAGTGTCCTGCATTTTCTTTGGCTTTAAACTTTCACTGAGTAAAGCATTTGCTGCCTGCTGAAAGGCCTTTCAGCTCTGGGCCTGCCTTGAAAAGAACATAACACAAAGGGTGTCCTTTTCAGGGTAGGTAAGTTGTTTGTATGCTTTCTTTTCTGCTTTCTCCCCATTCTAGGTTGCTACGTTTATTCTTCAGAAAATCCTCCTGGATGACACAGGGCTGGCATATATCTGTCAGACTTATGAGCGGTTTTCCCATGTTGCCATGATACTGGTAAGATTATTTGGTTTTAAAATATTTGGATTTGTATTTAAAAAAAAAAAAAAAAAGAAGATGCTCTAGCAGCCAGCTTCTTCCCCAGCTACTTCACTGCTCCCTGGCTGGAGCAGAAGATGAGGGAGGCAAAGGGGTGTTGGGCTTATGGCTTGTGACACTGTAGCTCTCTGCTTCTGTGTGATTCCTTTGTGTATCTCTGGTTTGTGTGCCAAGAGAAGGCATTAGTTGTAATATACTAAGTCCCCAAGATAAACTGAGTAAACACCTCCAGAGAAGAAAAGGAGTTTTCAGGGTTGTTGGTTGGATGTGAATTATTTATGTAAGAATGACCACACAGCTCAGACCATGAATCCATTTTTCATCTCCGTCTCCCACAACAGAGCATCAGGTTGAGTGAAGGAGTAAAAGCAGGGCCAACACACATGATACTTGCCCTTGTAACGGTCCTGCAGCTGCAGCTATTTTTATCTTTGAATTTCTGGGGCCGGTTGTGGGTTTTCTATGCAGTAACCCCCAGTGTTTGTCCTATCCTCCCCTTGAACTGCTGGAAACTTTTTGCTTCCACTGTGTCCTTTCCCAAGCTGTTTCATCGGTTTCCTCTTTGCTGCCTGGAAGGCCAACCTCCTTTTTTGTTCTCTTTTAACTTGAGTGTTACTAGCTGCTGCTTATGATTCTAATTCTTGTCTTGGAAAGCTGAGAGAACAGGCTATTTTTGCCCATTCCCTGTCCCCTGTGAAGGAGAAGCTTGGGTACTCATACTTGTTCATCCAGGAGTAATAGCCCCAGCTTAAGCTTTATTATCTTTGAGCTTGCCAAGAGGAATACATGTCTGCCCTGGAATAGCTATTGTCCTGCTTCTGTGTTTGCTTTGTTGATTGTTTGCTTTTTAAATATCAGTCTCAGGAGAAGAAAATACAGCATTAATTTAAGCGCTTTGCAGTGCTGGTTCTGTGCCTAAATGTTAATGCTTTCATTTGAAGTATTTATTTGTCTGTTTCCCAGTTGTAAAGAAAGTGTTTCCTCCTAATTCAAACAGCAAAACTTGAATGATTGGGAGTGGATGTCCATAATATCCAATGGGATATGATTTTTGCATTCAAGAAAAGGATTGCTTTGATGAAAGTATGTCTGACTCGGGGGCAAAGTGAAGGATGGAATTAGAAACCCTGCGGTAGAGAAGGCCAAGGAAGAATCCATGGCTGGGAATGGCACAGAGACAGAAGGATGTGAGCTCATAAAGCTGTGTTAGCATGGAAGAAGTCCTCGCTGTGGGATAATCCCACCATTGGGTGAAGCACTGGCATCATTAATATTCCATAGTGCTCTGGAGAAAGATTAAAATGTTCATAGACATTTCTGTTATCTATTTAAAAAATCAGGATAGTGTACTCCTGTCTCATGAGGGTGATGAGTTACATCCTTGTCTGCTGATAATAGAGTAAGATGTTACACAAGTATTAGATGCTTTTAGAAGATGAAGTTAGCATTTCCCGCCCAGGAGCTGTGTGAGGAACTCTGACTTGTTGTTCTTTATTTAAAAGAAATACTGCTGTCCTGGGCAATTGCTGAGAGCAGGAAGCTTGCAAAAGGGCAGATGAGGGGGACCTGCTGATTGCCCACTGCCTAAATATCCAAATACAGGTGAATTTGGCTAATGAGAGAGATTGTTAGTGCTAGCCAAGGTAGTTTTACGGGGGAAAAAAAAACCTCACTGGGCATGTCTGATTGACTCCGAAACATGTGGAAGCAGATTGTTGAAGTCCTTCAAAGCAGGCATGTGAAGGCATTAGCGCCGTTCTCTAGGCTGGGTGCATTCAAAGGTGCAACCAAAGACCTAGATAGTGTGAGACATGGGGGCTGGGCTGGGGACGTCTGTCCTGGTCTTGCTTCCTACTAATGCATTAATGAGGGATGTAGCAGAAATTGAGAGTACAACTGTTGGGTGCATAAGATCAGATGTGGATCTTAACTGTACATGATGTAGGTGAGCCCAGTCCTTGGGCATGGCTTCCCAGGCTGCTGGTAATGTTTTAAAAGGGTGTTGAAATGAAGGCAGCACAAATGAGAAGAGGGAGTGTTGCAGAGCTTGGGAACACACATGGAGTGACTCAGCCTGACCTTATCAAAGCGTCTGGGTTACTTTTACCTTCCTCCACAAGGGGGAAGCCCCAGGTTCCCTTTAATGTAGCAGATCGTTGGACCACTAAGCAGTCCTGGGGAGGTGAAAAGCAAAGAGAGATGAGACAAGCTTTCCCTGAGATGCTGGGAGAAACTGTTCCAAGCCATGGCTAGCTGCTCCACTCAAAGGCATCTTGGCAAGCAAAGCACTGGGCTCCATACGGGATATCAAGCTGAGAGGTAATAGGCTGTGATGCTGGGGAAACCAGAGTGAGTGATTTAATGGTCTTCCCCATTCTCTGCCGATTGTGAAGCTGTTTGTAAAAAGACTTTTAACTGGTGGCACTGGCCTCTGTCAAACAGGGTAAAATGGTCCTGCAGCTGTCCAAGGAGCCATCAGCACGGCTACTGAAACATGTTGTCCGCTGCTACCTTCGCCTTTCTGATAACCCCAGGTAAACATTTTAGGAGTTTGCGCAGGGTCTTCTCCTGCTCCCTGGGAAGTGCAGTTCTTCTCCACGGTGCCCACTCAGGGAGAGTCAAGGTTCCCATCTGTCCTTACGTCAGCCTTTAGCTTGGTGTGAAAAATGGGTGGGTTTTTTGGTTTATTTGGGTTTGGGTTATTGCTAGTCTCAGGAGCTTTTATGGTACATGGAGGAAACGGTGTCTGGGGCTTGTGCAGGTTCAAGCTGTGCAGGTTACGACTGCCTGAGCTCAAATGTAGCTTGAATGAGATACGAGGGAGGGACTGGGGTGGAAGGTGCACTGTGCTCTCCCTCTTCTGCACTGTGGGGGCTGTTAACAGTAGTAGCCAGTAGTTCAAATTCAGTTGAGGAAATACAGGTTAGTTTCATGCCCAGAGCCACTGGGTATGTATTTGTTGTCTTGGCCTCTCCTGGCATCACATCGCTCTTAACTGATGGATGTCAGGACACAGGGGTTGGCTCAGTGGGGTCAGCGTGCAGGGTGGGGGCTGTGCTGGCTGGCTGAACACCACTTGCTGTGGTGGTGGTGCTGCTTGGTGCTTTCCTCAGCTGGCCCTGCCAGGGAGACCCTCAGGCAAAGGAGTATGGTGTCCCCAGTGGGGTTTGTTCCCCTCTTGCCCCTGTGAGTTTATTTGTTGGGCCCCGTTTCTTGTCTCTTGATGTAGGGCACGTGAAGCTCTCAGGCAGTGCCTTCCTGACCAACTGAAGGACACCACCTTCGCCCAAGTCCTGAAGGATGACACCACCACCAAACGCTGGCTGGCTCAGCTCGTCAAGAACCTGCAGGAGGGTCAAGTCACTGACCCACGGGGCATCCCGCTTCCTCCACAATGACTGCTGGGGGAGGTGGGGGACCGAGGAAGAAACAGCTCAGGTTTACAAAGAACCAGGCACAGGTGACCTCTTCCGCAACAAAGCGGGCATGCCAGCTGGCTGCCAGCCTGTCAGACCATCCCACCCAGCCAAAGGGCTGCTCTGTAGTGGTGCAGCACGCTTCCGGGGATCACACCAGCAAATGCTGATGCTACAGCTTCAGAAACTAAGAAACAGATCAATTCAAACCCATCTGTAAGGATCCCCTCCTCCCTGGGAGGCTTGGCTGACATCTCTCCCCCCACTGCCAGGCAGGGGGTAGCGCAGATGTCTACTTCCAGCTAGCTCAGCCTCCACCCAAGTGGTGTGTGTGACATAGGGGTGCACGCCACGTCCCTCCAAGTCTTGTCACTTCTTGTTTACACATCTGTTTAGATGAGTGAGCTGAATAAAAGCCGATCCAGTTGTTCTGTTTCCTCCTAAGACTTCTCCTTGGCTGCAGGTAGCCCAGGAACAGCTTTCTTCCCTGCCGGCACATCCTTGCTCCTGGCTCTGCACCCAGCTGGTACAGTGAGCTTCTTCCATTCCTTTGGCGTGGAGGCAGTAGCTGGAGTCAGGGCACCACAGTTGCTCACCCCAGGAGGAGGGGTAGATTACTTGCGCGTCATAAGCTTGCTGCCCAGGGCTCTACGGAAGAAGACAGCATGACTGTGGTGCTTGTGCTGTAAATAGTACGCTCCTGCAGCTAACCAGCAGCCAAGGGCTGATGTCTGCTGGCCTCCTACCTAGCTCTTGCCCAGCTGTGCTGCTGTCTGGCTTGTGAAAGGGAGCCCAGCATAGGGGACCTGCATTGTGGCTAGTCAGCCAGTGAATCCCTGCCCCAGGGAGCAACACCCTGCAGGCTCCAGGTATGCAGCTTCCATACTAGGTGCCTGTCAGTCCTGGTCCCCTCCCTTTCCCCCCTCCTGCAGCTCCTCTGCCTGCCAGGTGAATCCATTTCAGCTTTCAAATGTGCCCTGTCGTCTGCCTTGGCCCTGCTGCAATTAAACTGGACCAGCAGCTGTGTATCTGCCTTCCCTGCTCCGAGGGCTTGGTTCGGCTGTGGTTGGGCTCTCAGACTCAGCCAAAGAGCTCCTGGGCTCTGCTGCAGCGGAGCCTGTTTTGGCTGCAGGCGAGCCTGGGCAGCTACTTGATTTCTCCCCTCTCCGCCAGTAGCCTGTTTTGCTGATCATCTGTGGTGATGTGCCAACACTGTCTTAAATCCCATCTCCTTTCCCTCCCTCCCTCCTCCCCTCACAGCCTTGCATAACAAGGGCAGAGCATGGCCTCTTCCTTGCCCCCAGGGTCTCATTTTATAATCCTCACCTTTTTTTCCCTTCCATCCACCCTGACCTTGACAGGGTGTGAAAATGCTTCTGTTCGGTGGTTTGGGGGTTTTGTTTCTTTTCTAAATTCGGATTAATAAATAATAAAACCCCAGCTAGCACAAATTGCTCCTGGTCTGGTCTCCTGGGGAGGGCAAGCAGTGAAGGGGGGGATTTATTGCAGGCGGGGGAAAGGAGGGGGCTGTGCCAGCTCGGGGATGTGAGCTGGGGAGAGTGCGTGGCCTTTCCTGGCAGGAGCTGGCTGCATTCCTGTGGCACTCCATCTCTGCTGGAGCAGGTAATGAGGGGTTCTGGGGAGGATGTGCTGTTCCCTCTTCATTTGCAGTGTGGGTACAAGTGCTGCCACACTCTCCTGGGGTCCAGGTCCCTTAAAGCATTGGCCATATGAGGTTTGGTCTTTGTCCTGCATGCAGCCTGTGCACCTAGCTCAGCCTGCCTCAGTGTGCTTGTATCCCCAGCCTGGGTGCCCCAGGATGCTCAAACCATTCCCTGCTCTTCGGGTCTTGCATTTCCCAGTTGGAGGGGCCTGGCCTTGAAGTCTGTCAACCATCGTGTCCTGGGAAGGCGACAGGGACGTGCTGGGGGCTTTCTTTTCCCCGTGGATGTGGAGGTTGGCATGCAAGCGTGTCTGGGGTGGGACAAGCTGTGCTGGAGGGTGGTGATGAGGGCTCAGCCCCAAGAGGGGGACACTGTAGGGTGCTCCCGCCACAGCCTTTCCCCCCCCCCCCCCCCAATTCGCCTAGGGCGCGGCGTGACCTTAATCCGAGGCGACCTTGAGAGGCGGCGGCTGCGGGGCCGGAGTGTGGGGGCCCGGAGCGCCTGGGAGGTGGGGGACCGGGGGCGGGCTTGCCGCCCTGCTGCTGCTGCCGAGGGGCGGGCAGCCCCGGCCCCGTGCGGCCGCGGGCGGTGGAGCACCGGCGGAGCGGAGCGGCACTGGAGAGGGGGTACGGGGCTGCGCTCCGCGCCGGGACCGGGATTCTGCGGGGGAAGAGGGGCGGCGGGGAAGGCTGGGACCCCCGGCTCGGGCAGCGCTGCGCGGGGCGGGTGGCGCGGGGTGGAGGGAGAAGCGCCGGCGGGTTTGTCTCTTTTGCCTTTAGTTGTCACTTGCACCCCAGCACCCTCCGAGGTGTTTTGCTGCCCCATCCCGACCCCTTCCCCGAGCCCCTCCGACCCCGCCAGCCGCCGGCTGGTTCCGCCTCATGGGTCAAGCTCGGTGCCCGGGTGCGGCTGCGTGTCCTGGAGCGGGTGGGAAGGTTGAGCGGGGCAGTGGGGCTGAGCAAAGCGCCGGTTCATGGGCAGTCTGTGCGCACAGCAGGGCAGCAGGAAGGTGGCGGGTGCCCGGAGTGGGATCCCTCCTTACTCTGGCACGGCTTCCCCCATGGTGGCGTTAAATTCCGCCGGGGCACTGTGCACTGGAGCGTCTGGGAGCGCTCGCGCCCGCTGCCCCTCCATCTCCTCTTGGGGACTGTCACCCCAGGAGGAAAGCTGCGGTGGGTCGGTGTGTGCTGGGGTGCTGGGGCTGGCCCTAGGTCCCTGGCAGGAGGCAGTTGCCCTGCGGGAAACTCTCGGGTTGGGTTTCTCCATCCTCTGGCTCCCGTCCCGCTCGCCTCGACAGCATAACTCAGACTCGGGCGAGCCAGGCTGTGTGGGGCCGGGCTGCTCCGGGCTGGAGGCACGGAGCCCAGCACCCGTGTCCATCCGTGCATCCTTGCTCCCGGGATGTTCCTTGTGTTGGCCGAGAATCTCTTCCTTACTGCGTGTGCGGGGAAGGTAGGGCTCGTGCCTGGGGAAGGGCTGGCAGCTCTTGGGCTGTGCCGGGAGCCAGGAATGGCAAGCACAGGGGAAGATCAGCTCTAAAATCTTAGTGCGGTTATGGCCCTGGGGGCTGCAAGCAGCTCCCTTGCATACTGCCACTGTGCACAGATGCGTGGTAGGGTGCAGAGAGGATGGACCCGTTGCTGGCACCAAGCCCATCTCTGCCCCAGACCAGCGTCTCTCCCTTCTCCTTTATCTTCAGTGCCTCTCTCTCTACCCCCACTTCTCCAAAACACCCACATATCCATCCCGTCGCCTGCTGCAGCACAGGAGCCATGGGGCAAGTGGGCACCTGGAGCTGTGACCGTGCAAAGTGGCTGTGCTGAGTGCTGCCAGGAGGCAGGAGGGGGCCGGCAGATGGGTGACCAAGGGTGTCCCCTGCGTCCTCACAGGCCATTGGGTGCAGGTGGCTGAGAGTGCCCTGGGTGGTGAGGGGCACTGCTGGGGCTATGCAAACCAGCAGGCATCAGGGCACCCACTCTGCAGGGCACAAGAGGAGCATGGTGCCAGCCCCCTGTTTGTGGGTGCAGGCGCCCCAAACTCTGGTCCAATTTGACAGGTACCCCTGTCACATTGGATGTGGGGGATGCAGGCACTGCAGCCGATTCCTTCAGTCTGAGCCATGCATAAAGGGCTTATACTGGGAACTTGAAGCTCAGGGACTGAGAGCACTGCTGGGAGGCAGTGGGGATGGCACTCCAGCCACTCTGTGTATCCAGCAACACCTGAGGTCCCCAAGAGTGTGGACAGGCAATCCCCGTATGCCCTCGGGACAGCCAAACAGCCACTGCCAGCTTTGTGCCCGGTGTGTCCCCCGACTGGGGCCACAACCATGGCCAGCACTGTGCTGGGATCAGCCCTGCCATCCCCACACTGAGCAAGGCATGGCTGCTGTCTGGCCCTGGAGCCCACAAGGGTCTGGCAGCTGGGCTTGGCAGCTGCCTGCACACTGACGGCACTGGCTATTCCCAGCCCCGCACCGCCAGTGTTGGTGCTGAGTCAGGGGCCTGGGACACGGCTGCCACCCCTGTGCCCAGCTTAGAGCCTTCACCCCGGTACCCCTGGTCCCTTAGAGCCTTCACCCCAGTACCCCTGGTTCCTTTCTGCACCCAAATCCCGTCTCACTGACTGCAGCATCCACTCCTCATGGGCCCAGCTCCAGCAGCCGGGTGACAGGCACAGCTATTTGTCAGTCTAATTAAAGTCTTAACGGCCTAATCAAAGCCTTATTGTCAGTCCAGTTGTATTTATAGTCCCACTCTTCGCAGCGCACTCCCTGTACGCTACCGCTGCATTCATAGCCCCGTGGTGCTGGTGTTCCTCAGGGAGAAGGGGCCGGGGGAGCTGAGGATCACTGCTCTGCACCCCCTTCCTTGCTTCCACAGCCTTGCCTCCAAATGTGCTGGTTGGGGGCTGTTTCCTGGGGGGGGGGGGCGGGCTGGCTGCTCCGGGGCACCCCCAGCACAGTGTTTCCCAGCTTCTGCTGCTGTCTCTCCCCTGGGAGCAGGGACTGGGAACACGAGGACTCCTGCACACGCTCACAGGTTTTTCTGTTCTCCTCTGACACCTTTCGAGCTCTGGCTTCCCGGTAACACAGATTAATGTTTGATGAGCACGGCGGCTGAACCCGACACTTCAGGAAGGCAGTGACCCAGCAGAGACAGGTGCAGGGGCACACGCACCTTGCATGGGCACACAGGAGCCCACCCGGCGGGACCTGAGTGCAGTGGGAGGAGGTCTGGCCCCACTCCCTTCAGCAGCTCTTTCCCTTCCCTCCCCAGCGGTCGCCAGCGTGGAGGAGGCAGAGCCATGACATCGCTGCCGTGCAACGCCCGTGAGTGCCCTGGCGGAGGGAGGTGCAGGGCAGGGCACCCCGACACCCGGATTTAAGCCAGGGCAAATCTGGCCTGTGGGTTGCTGCACTCTGGAGCATCCCTGTCACACTGTGGTCACTGGAGGTTGGGCTTGGCAGTGCTGAGGGTGGATGGGGAGGGTCGATGGGGAATTGCCTTCTGCCCCTCCTGTGGTGAAGGGAGTTTATCTGGGCTCCTTCCCTCCTCCATCCCACATCAAGGGACTGTGTGGGGTCTAGAGATGAGAGGGAGCAAGGTGCCTGGATTTCCCCACCCTCAGTGATGCAGTCCATGCTGCCACCAGGCATCCAGCTCACAGAAACACTGGAGCAGATGCAGCAAGGGACGCTGATGCGCAAAGTCAAGTCCAAGAGCTGGAAGAAGCAGCGGTACTTCAAGCTGCAGGAAGACTGCATGA